TTAAATAGTATACAAGTTCAATTTTTATACTCATTTTAACCCTCAATCAATATTTTTAAATTTCAAATCTAAAACATGAAATAAATTGTTGAAATACATAAAATATTATATACTCAAGAAGCTGTTTCCAAAATAAATATATAATATAAATAGTATGTATATTAAAAACCAAATTAATCATTTAAATATAATTATAGTGTTAATTGAAATCAATGCTAATGCATATACATAATACAAATGCATATAATGTATTATACAGGGAAACAATGTGGACCATAACAAAATGAATCCCATAAATAATTTATATTTATATTTTAATGTTTTAAGCTGTAGCAAGGAAATATTATTTTTAAATAATGTGTTTTTTTATTGTTTAGTGCGACATCTTTTGTGCTATAAAAGTACTTCAAACATGTTTGGGCAACATATTTTTAACAGATTTACTATGAAATAATAGTAGTCCGTGAGAGGAAGTATACAGAATTACAAAACCTTTTTGTTTACGCTTATGATTATGGATAATACATGACCTGAACAACTTCAATAAAATATTCATACTGAACATATTTTAAAAATATTCAATAGCTTGTGGCCGTTCGGATTGTAAAGTTTTTCTGTTTCTTTTTTTTTTCATTATTATTATCTAGGATTGTTACATCACAACTCAAAGCAAAGCTATAGATAAATATAATGTAAAATATTTGCATAAGTATTTCAACTATACCAAGAACTAAACATTTTGTTTTGCTAATGATTAAAATCGCATTGATAGTGAAATATATTAATTTCAATAAATCATTGCTTTCTTTTAGTTTTAGGTTTTAATATTAAAAATATATGTTAAATAATTATTCTAACGGGCACATACTAGTTGCCTCCAGAAGTCAAAAAGGTCAATAGTTTTTCAATAAATTATCTCCCAGCTATTTACGAGTTGCCTCCCAAAGAACCCAAAATGTTATCGTAAACGATAAGGGTTTTTTCTTATGTTTTTAATATAATTGTGTGCCTATTATTTGTATAAATGTATAATTTTATAATTTTAAATAACTATATTTCTATAGATATGTTTTACTCGTATTATTATTACATATATAAGCCACTACTTAATTCTATACGACATGCAAATAGTGTATATTAACCCTTTAATTTACAATAAGAATGAGAGAAAACAGTGCCGTGTCTAGCATAATCAGCAGCCGGTGCCAAGAATCATTTCTAGCACCCTCACCTCTCTACAAAATATTTGTATACTTATAAAAAGTCTACATAACATTATTGTAGAGCCGGAGACAGATTTGTCAGATTTACCTTATTTTTTTACATTAAACATTTTTGTCAACATGTACAATGTACAAACACTTCTAAAGATGATAATATGCAAATAGGAAGAGAGTCTTTAACATAGTTAATTTATTGAATTTTCAGTAAAATTACTTGGATTATAAAAATGTTTTTGCACCCCGTTGGTCAATGGCGTCCGGTGCACACACAACTCTCGCACCCCCCTAGGCATGATCCTGGGAAGAAATTCATATATTTTGAAAGGCAACTAGTATACACAGACTCTAACGATAGGTGTTTATAAAAAACTTAAATATTTCCCATTTTCAATTTTCTTGAACGCCGAATTAGAATATTATAACTTAAATGTAATAAAGTAAAATTATGTTTATTCAGAATAACGTCTTTTTTGCGATAATAATTTTGTTCAAATTTAATATTATGATAATACATCTGTATTAACAACCTAAAACAATGAACTAAGTACCTAGCTAATGTGTGACCAAAGTACATCCACACACCTATTTGATTTATTGATTTGTGATTTCTGTACGCAAAAGTGTTATTTAAATTAAACACACTTGAAGTCTGAAATCACAATTATATTATCAAAATTAAATGATTAAGCCTCAAATACACCGAAAACATTCTATAAATCATACAGATACAAGTTTAGATGTTATTTTTTCTAACTACATACAAGAGGGTTTGAAATGTTGATCATACATTTTAGTACAGAATAATAAAAATGCACAAGATTTATTCAGTTGCAAACCATTTATAAAATCATAATAATATCGTTTGTATTACCGGAAGTAAATATAATATTAATACAAACAGGACCGTTCTGTATTATTTATCATTGTTATAATTGTAAACATTAAAAACTTGGTAATCGTAAGACAGCCCAAAAAAATTAAATTGATATACGACTACAGTAATCTGCAGTTAATAATAATTATTATCACGAAGAAATATCGTTAAACCTTTTAAGTATTAATATTAATTAATAATATAATTGCACAGCAACTATTATACAAAAATATATTTTAACAGAGAAGAAATAAAATAAACCGTGATGAGACGCCGTTTGAAAAATTGTTACTCGAAAAGCACGTGTGTACACGACTGCACTAAATAAATAGCGAATTCAAACTAATCTGTTGAGATAATTGACGAGATTTAACCAAAAATAACCATTCCTGCCTTTTCGTACGTAACAGCGTCCATTTGTGTAATAAATAGTACATGAACGTTAGCAGATCATATTACATGCACCTTGTACTTTTCTTCGACGTGGTGAGATGTAAATGAGTTGCGCCTAATTCATAAAATCAGAATTTTTCATTAAATCAGAAATTGCACGAATCTTACCTTACATATATATTTATATACAATATATATTATGCATATATACAAAGAGTTCTGTTACGTTATAGCTTACGGTCGATTTTTAATGTTTTCACTTTTTATTCAGTGCTTATTGCGTTCCCTATTAAGTTTCTTGTGCTGGATGCGATGCAGATTACGTACACCGCGTGCAGTGAGAGAACGCAACTGGATGGCGATCAAAACCCGTCAATTTTTGCGCATTCCCACCACTTTACCAGCCCGAGCGTCTCGCTTGACGACCACTATCGATAGCGATAACACCAGTCGCCGTGTGGTAGGGGAATTTCACATGCGCAAAGTGTCTCTAAATGAACGGACATGTAGACGTCATATTAAACATTTAAAAAGCGACTATAAACATTTTATTATAATCATCATATTTTTAATTATTTTACGAGAACTTTTAACCAGATACCATAATATTTTATGACTTTGATGAACAACATTCTAGTACAGTGGTTCCCAACCTCTTATATTCTACACCACTTTTGAAGAATTTCAAAAATATCGTCTCCCCTACTATAAGTTGAAAAAAATAAAATATAAATAACAGTAAATAATAAAATGGAATAATTAATTAAGGTTTTCATTAAATATTATAATATTATAGTAATAAATTAGTATAAAATATTAAAAATAGTAAATAAAAAAATAAAGGTATAATGAAATTAATAATTAATGATAATTGATGTTAATGCTAACAACACTTTTCCTTCGACAGTTTTTTTTATATTCTACTCAGTATTTGATAGAAAACGGATAAAGAGAACCGATCAAATAATTTTTTTTCTCTGCGTTTTAAAATAAAAATTGTACTTCATAATAACTGTTTGCATCTCCCCAAAAATGTGTATACCCCCCCCCCCCCCCAGTTTAGAAACCAGTGCTTTAGGTAATGCTCCTCACATACTCATATCCGTTCAAACAGAATTCTAAGCCTCGAGCGACACATACAATAACCTAAATAGTAAGATTTAATTTCAAATTCAAATTTCCGGTTAAATCAATGATTTTGAAAAACGTCGATGTAATAGTAGCTTTTACAATAACATTGCAGTTATTTAGAGTTTAAAACCTTTAATAGATATACAATGTGACGTAGCGCGTCCAAAACAGTGTAATTTGAAATGTTTCTCGTCTAAACCCTCAGACGGAGATGATCGTGGTATGAGATTTTCCCAGTGTTCGATATGAGATTTGAGATTTAAAATTGTGTAACGAAAAACTACTGTAAACAATAAGTTTCGTTTTATCGACTTACATTTAGGCCTTCATGGGTTAATATGCCCGAGGGCAAGGGATGTGCCAAACGAGCACAGATATCGAGATACTAAACTTTTATTCGCGAAATACCGAAGTAATGTGTGCAAAATTTAGATACAGAAAATAATTGGTGTGCGGATAAGTTAAAGTGAATGACCCATTTCGAAGCACAATTCTTAAGACTATAAAATATGATGTACTATACGGATTCTGATTTCTATCATCCGGTTTAGTATTATATACTATTATACCATATTATAACTATTGTACGGTGTATAATTTCTTAATAGGAGCGTTTGTACGTTTATTTCTTCATTCGAGTGGTTTGTAATCACGCGACAGTCTGACATGTTTCACGTGTGACACAGCTTTTTATAATGTTTTAAATCGCGCAACGGTCATGAAGTTCAGCCGTGTCTGAAAAAATGAATAATAAAGCTAGGCTTACCGGGTGAACAGGACTTCTGTGATACAGTAGGCATTACGTTTCGCAATGGCATTATCGTACTGAGAGCCCCCCCCCCCCCTCCGAAGAACCGTGCACGCAATCGGTAATGCATAACGGATGATAATAATAATCGATCGTCAGTGCCGGATTACTCAGTGAGCAAAGTAGGCACCCACCTTAGGGCCTCACTCATTTAAGGGCCCCTGTGAAAACGAAAAAATATATATTTTAATATTACCTGAATTTTATTTACAAATTTACGGGACAAAAGTAATTTTGAAATATAATATATATTAAGCTGTAATTGTGATACGCAGTAATAATAATAAAATAATTTTGAAAAATTAGAAATAATATAATAATTAATTAATTTTTTTTGGGAATAAAAAAATGTAATAAACACGATTTTATTTATTAATAATAATAATTGGTTATCATTAAAACTGTTTTAATTTTAATTATTGGATAGTAATGTCAAAGATGTGTGTAAAAAATAATTTTGTGCGACCCAAAATTTTAATGGCCTAGGGGTCAACAAATAGCACAATTCGACACTGTCGACCGTGATGCGCATTTGACACGAGCACATATTTACGTGAATGTATTGTTGCAGCGGTGTCGGCGGCGGCGGCGGTTATTTCGACATTGAGCGGATGAAGTTACCCCCATGATGCCCGTTATGCTGATCCAGCACCACTTGGCCGCTGACGTATTCGAGTGCTTTACCGTTCGGATGACGGTATCCCGTTCACCGGCACACCGGGCAATGCGCTACTACCGTATCTGGATATACACGTGCAACACCGTGCTGATGGTGTGCGTGGTGTGCTTCGTGGTGATCGCCTACCAGCTGGTGGTGGCCGACCAGCGACGACACCTGGTGCCCGGACTGGACCTGTGCCATCCCAGCCTGCTGTACGTGTACGCCGCGCTGTTCGTCCAGTGCACCGTGCTGCAGATCGTCGGCTTCCTGGGCGCGCGGTCGCTTAGTGAGCGGCTGCTGAACGTCTACTGGCTGCTGCTGCTCGGGCTGCTGGTCGGTGACGCCGTGCTGGGCGTGTACTGGCTGTATAGGTACGACAAAATGGTGGCCAGGCTCAAGCCGGCGCTCCGGGACCGGTTGGCCAAGGACTACGGCCGTGACCGGCGGTTCGCCGCCGTCTGGGACGACCTGCAGCGCGATCACGAGTGTTGCGGCGTCAACGGGCCCCAGGACTTCTTCAACGTGACCGTGCAAGTCGGCGGCACCGGCGGTGAGTGCGCACGTCCTCGCGCCATCCGTTCTCCCTCGTTCCCATCCTCCACCTCCACCGCTCCAAATTGTTGTTTATCGATTGTTGATTGCGTCTACGTCGATTAGTAGTCACGTACAACTGATCGAACGGACCGAGCGAAAAAAGTATCGATGCGAACTAGCTCGTCTGTAAGAAATGCGATTCGCTAATGGAACGATGCACTTCGGGATCTCCTTTGATCTCCCATGTTTTTTCTTTATTCAAATTTTCTAGGCCAATTACGTTTTAGAAGACGTTTAATAACTCAACGTGAAATCTTTTATAACGTATATTTTGTACGAGTTCAATGACAGTGAATGGTTTAGTGATCCTTGTTAACGAATCAAGGAGCTCCTTTTATAAGTCGGAGACTGGTAGACTCAATAGTCGTTACAACAGACAAAGGTTTTTGCGGGTTCCCAGATTTGGCTGCCATATCTGGACGAATCGAGTCAAATAATAGTAATAGATTTATAAATAAGCATTTTGTAATTTAAACGCAATTCAGATTGTAGGAGTATTGTTGAAAGGCATATCGATCGGTGTGCGTACAGTGCCTAAATTAGTCACTTATCGAGTTGATTACTATCGAAAAAAAAAATATTTTTCTCATGCCGATATTTCTATCGTAAACGTGGTATCGTTTCCGCGCTCGTGAGAATCACATACGTTTCAATAAATCACCAAAAAAATGGGAGAGTCGAAACCGATTTATCGTCTTTCCTGACCTACCCATCTCATGTCCTAATGTTACGATTAATATATTATAACAATAATCGGATTATCCCGGAAACAGAATCAATATCGGAATGGATGTGTACTTTAGGCCAAGTATAAACTATTTTATCATATTTATTTAAAACAAACACACTTTTCGAAACTGTTTCTGTTATTAAAATTGAAAATCTAAAAACGTTGCCAAAGCAATCTCAAGTAAACTAAATGATTCTGATTCCTGATTTTGATAACCTAAACGTTTCAAAATATCAATCTGATGAACTAACAATTGGTAATTTTTTACTACGTTGCATGTGTGAAAGTCCAAAACAACACACATCGGTTTCCAATCCCTACCTCTCGGAATTTTGATCGTAAAATTCATGTAAAACGTCACAAAAAAAATTAATTATATTTATTGAAAACTTCGACTTATTAAAATTATATTTTCAAATAAATATTGCTTTTAATAAATGAAAAAGTATACAAATCTTCATAATGTTTACAAATTATTTATTCTCAAAATAATAAGTTCAAAGTTAATTGTTCAGTTTTCATTGAATGAATTTTTATAAATTAATTAATTAAAAAAAAAAAAAAATCAAGTGGTCTAAGTAAATTTACTGTAGTAATATTTAGAAATATTTATTTTATACATTTGAAACCAATAACGAATCATTGCGTGTTCAAAATATAATCGTCGGTATTTATGAAGACTACCGGTTTTTCGGAGATAAAATATATATAGTAAAAATTTGACCTTAATATATTTTCCAATGTCTTAAAACTAGATAAAAAATAAAATATATGAATTTCTAGTTTAAGAATACAACAAACTTTTTTTTTATGAAAGAAATATAAACGGTTTGTGTAACAAGGTTTAACTTTATTTTATGATTTTTTTTTACGGTTTATTTTTTACAATAAGAAAAACTATTGAAAAAATATGCTACTTGAAACTATTATGTTGCAGATTTACTACTCGAAAAAGTGTTGACAGCAAAATAAAAATAAAACGAGAAAATAAACAGGCCGGGCTCTATAAAATAGGGCGGCATTGGGTTTTTTTTCACAAGAAGCATACAGACCGGTCTGGGTTTTTAAATTTTATATTTATTATGTCCCGGTATATTTGCCGAGATTTCAAAACAAAAATGATTAAACCATATTTAACCCTGTATATATAGGTTACTCAGTTTTCTGAACTTAAGAATGGGTACTTAAAAAAAGTATTGTTCCAGGTATGTAGTGATTATAACTGTTATGATCATTTAAATCGAAAAATATGACTGATATTTAAATTCTATATCCTCAGTTATATGAGAAGTCTCATAAAAGTGATCTATACTTCTATAAGAATCTAACGTAGAAATTACGACAAAATGATTATCACTTATCTGCTGACGGTAATTTTACTTATTTTCAGAAGAAATGTACATATTATTGACAATAAAAACTAAAGTCAAGTTTAGTAGTGCTTCTTAATTAAATAACAGTTCGCAAATAGTGCTTCTCTAAATCACTACTAATTAACAAATACCTAGCGCTATGGACTTTGTTGCTCTTATCATATTTTATTTGTAGACTAGCCGGTATAATATATTATATACAACACTACGTTTCCGTTACACACATTAATGGATTATTATTGCTATTTTTTTTTTTTTGTTACAACAATGCGATAAGGTCAATATGCATCCGGTAAAAGTACCAGGAACGCATCAGGAACATACGTTCATTTGTATAATCGGTCGGGATAACGACGAGCGGATTCGCGGACGATTTGACCAGCGTGCAGCACATAACTTCCACGTACACAAACACTCGTCCTATCACGCGGTTAAAATAATTAAACTACCTACTCACTACTACACGTAAAATGTTCATGTCTACTAGGGATTTAATTGTGAGACGAATTTTCACTTTTGTGGACGACTATCACACGGTGCTCGACGAAATCAAAACGACCATTTTCGGTCGAGTTTAACCGCGATCGTACAATTTGTACGAACACAGTACACGAACACTATACCGCCGTCACTCTCTGTCCGTTCGATTCATATCGATGAAATCGAGTCCATTTATTATTATTATTAAGCGTGGCTGAACGCGTGTATATATTTAAACGTGCATGCGTGTGTATGTGTGTGATTGTTTATGCGTGCATGTAAATGAGTGCCTGGGTATAAACGCATTTTTCATGGTCGGCAATAAATTATTAGCACGAAATATTTACACCGTTTAAAATATTATTGACTTTCTAAAATTTCGGAAACAATTTCAATCAGAATACGCCGCAATAAATATCCCGTACGTATTATATATTACAATATAATGACAACATTTTCAACTCCATCAATTTTGTATACGTAAAACGCTTTGACGACCGATTTGACCGCGCGCGTGCTTCCTGACTGTAGGAACCCTTCCAGGAATATCGGTGTGCTTTTTTTTGTCTATTTTTACGAAAAAAGTAAAATATATGCACATAAACGTACATAGATACCCATTATACATGCATATACATATACATACATTATGATATAATACACGTGTGATATATTATGATAAATGATACGAATTTTAGGTCCGATCCTGAATACATTATCCTTCGGCGCCGCTGCTACTTCAGATACGATACTGTACACCATGAATACGGCTGAGCATTATTATTTTATGCACAAAGTAAAACTCGAAACGTTTCGATAAATTATTTAAAAGAACTTTCCATACAATATACATCGTGTTCGAAAAGAGAATATTTGTTATAACGGTATATTAATACGTTAATCGATACAACAAAACGCATATGATATATTTTAGAAAAAACAAAATTCCGTAAGCGATTTATGAGCCTCAATTTTGTTACTCGAATTTTAGTTAAGACATGTGACTAATTTTAATTATTCTTGTATTAAATAAATGGGTAACGGAATATAGAAGTTAAATTATTCATTAGTTATTGCGTACAGAAGATTTATTTTCAAACTTCCTCTACGATCTTAAGTCACAGGACCACTATGTTTAGCACCCAACATCATTTTATTCAACTTCATAGTATTAAAGATAATCTAGTAATAACGATTAATTTTTTCCTATCAAATATCAAAACATAATACCTAGTTCAATAAAACATGATGTAAATATCAAAAACATTTTCCTTACTTCACCTTAAGTCATGATCGATGGTCGGTATTACTATTTTTAATTTTAAGAGAATGTCGAATATTGTACTTACATTTGAAAATACGACGATTTTTTCTTCCATTGAAGGATTTATTTTTTATTTTTATTAATTATATTTTTTTAATCTTTAAAATCTTTAAATTTTCATTATTTTTCCGTACAATGATTAATAATTATTTTGGAATTACAAAAGAAAATCTATATTACATTAGATAAGATGATTATTACCTTAACGGATTTTACTACTCAGAATAATTTTTCAAACAAAATTGTATATGCCATCATTTTTAAATTTAAACACATAATACAACCCACATCCGACAGATATATCTTACCAACTAAGCTCGTCCTTTAATAACGACCGATACTCGACGGCCAACTGCAACATCTCACGGGTCATCTCTTTATGTTTAATAACATAGGAAACATAATTAATAATTATAAAATTATTATATTAAATTATTATATTAAAATATAATTATTATTATATTTTAAATATCGTATATATTTCGTCCGTTTATCAACATTGAATTTCCACATTATTTTTAAATTAATATTGAACTTTGATAATCTTAAATGATTTCCCATCTTATCGTTAGACGCGAATCATCAATATAAAATATGACCCTTTTCGAGTTAAACATTTAATTGATTTAAATTTTTGGTAAAAGAAAATTATATTTATGAAAAATTCGTAATATGCTAAATTAAGAATTTGAAAATATAATTATCACTTAGAAAGTCTGTTTATTATAATAGTTTTATCCTAAAATATAACACATGCATTTTACGTTCAATAATAAGTATTAGAAGGACTTTGTGTCGGAAATTATATAAGATTTGCCATATTCATTAGTTATTTATTAAGTTTCTGCACGATATAATTATAATTAGTACGATAGTCCTGAATTCTAATACCCTATTCGTATTAAACATACATTATTATAGACATATTTTTTTGAATTTGCCTTGGGTTATCTTTTTCTTAAAAAATATTTTTGGTAAATCAAGTTTTTAAATAAAAATATTATGTCCATAAAATCAATTATATTAGTTATAAAGATCTCACTTGCAACGAAATAAAAATTTGAATTTAAAATACTTACGAAATAGCATAATTTACCTGGCAAATTAAATAATACGAGTAAATGAAAAAATGTAAAAAAAGTTATATCTTTGATGGCTATATATTATGGCTTTAATATTAAAATATTAAAATTTCAATTGCACATTTTGTCCCTTATATATATTTTAAATCGTATATGAAAATGATACAAAATCATGGCTTTAGTTTATTAGATAAAATAGTGTAATGAGAAGTCGGGTCCCGGCATTACATTACTGTTATCGTAATATGCATATATTTCGTTATGATAAATATGTGTTCATGACGGTTCATGATGAATTTTTACCTTTATAAGAATTAAATATAACATAGTCAAGGGAGGTGTTATTACACTTGTAACACCCCCCTGGCTACGCGCCTGAAGTAAATTGACACTCAACAAATTAAACAATAAAAGTTTCTTTACTTGTTATTATTTCGTCAACAAGTATGGATTTTTGATGTCATTAACATTTTGATAAGTATCTACCATTAAATATTAATAATAATCCTCTGTCACTACACACCAATCGTAATTTTTAAGAAAAAAGCTCATAAGTATGTTATTTTTACATCCATAAGAATTTTTAAGTTTGTGATTTTAATGGAAACAAACTTTGATAGAAATATACGATTTAATTATAGTGTTGACGATTTTATAATCCGATGTTTTATTTTTTAATTTCAAATCGATACACGATATATGTCAAATATAACATGGACTACAATTATTCAAATCCTATCTCTTTATTAATTTGAAATACATTATTTTAAGTAAATACAATAATATTTTATTATTACGCTTGAGGAATCGAGTCGTTTTAATATAACCGTGTGATTTCTGGAACAGAAGAGTAAACGTGTATGTGAGGATAAAATTATGGGGTTTCGGAAAAAGAGTAGATCACAACTATGTTTTGCAACGTATCCAAAAACCATCGTTCATCGTCTCATATCTGTTTTGTTATTCCCGACGTTACATCAGGTGTATATTAATATGTATTATATATTATAGTAACCATAAAATCGGATTTGTTGGCCGTTTTTTTTTTTTTTTGGCTTCGATCTGCAGAATATTTAATTCGTTTAATCTTATCCAAATCCTTCTTTCTGCCGACATTATACACCTTATACCGTTAAAATCTGTACAAATTTACCGCCCGATCACCACGAGGAAACTGTATTACAGCTATATACACAGTGATCGTTCTCAACATATTACATTTTACTATTCAGAATCAACAATTCTTAAGCATTCCTGCATACATCAATGAGTTCGTTACACGGTACATATAATAATATTATTATGTATTGCTTTCCAGCTGAACGATTGGTCGACTACACGACCGTGCTGCCGGACAGCTGCTGCTACCACAAACCGGAGGCGGTCGCGTCGCCTTTCCGGAGGGACTACTGGCAGCCGCCGACAACGACCACGGCCGTATGGACGACGGTCCAGGTGGAAGAGCACGACAACATGGAAGAGATGCCCATCAAGTGCCGGCTCGGTCTTTACCGATATTACTATACCGGCTGCGAACGGGCATTGATGGCGTGGATACGCAGGAGTGCGGACGTCCTGTTCGTCCTCGGTTACTGCGTGATATCATTTTTGAAACTGTGTTTCCTGGGTATCCTGAGGTAAATCTGAACCCAAACCCTGCGTCCATTCTCTTCTGTATCAAGGGTACTCCTTATCCCCAAAGATACATAGTAAACTGCGTAGCGGATAGTACAGACTCGTATGTAAATATAATTATGTTATAAAATGTATACAATATTGCTGTGGATAAAAAAACAAAAAAAATAAAACAACAGTATTCTAAATATCGACGAATGTACCATCGGTCATTATATATTATGTATATACTCATGCCGGGTGTACAATATTATATAGGATACGTTATTTATCGCACTTCTCGGGACAAAACGCATAATAATCTTACTCCACTTCTGAGTTTCGCGTTTCTTTTGTATTTAAATGAGTAGGGAATTGAATTTTCCGCGTCAATGCTGCAGTCTATCATTGATTATAAAATGTATTTAACTAGGCGAGTTCAATATAATTAACGGCTTCGACTATATCTATACATGGTTGTAATAAATTGTTCAACTGGTAATATTGTTATTGAATAAACAGCTTCGTATTCAGAAATCAATTCAATCAAATCAATTGCAGAATGTATGAAATAAAAATTATATTTAAATGACTGGCATAGAATATTTAATCTATGCATTTTATATCAACAACATCGATACCTATTCGTTTTTATTATATAAAAATCAACCGTAATAGTTAATTTGTATTATAAAAAAAAAAAATTCATTATATTTACAGTGAGATAGTTAAAAATGAAATTTTAAAAACCGTAACAATTTAGTGATTCATTTTTATTAATGACTTATTTTATTAATACATATTTTTTTTTTAGGTATGAAATTCGAGAAATGATTCAAAAAATTAAAATACTTCATGGAGATACAGCTAGACTAGAATTAGTCAATGTACCCCAATCTACAGGGAAGTTGTTACAAAAAGTTGAACATAATGGTAGTGTAGTACGTGTATCTACTCCTATGAGACAAGACTCTCAGCAAGGCAAGTACAATATTCTAATAACTCTTAAGAGCTTATTTAAAATGTAAATACTTATATTAAATTATACAACTAAAATATTTTAAAACAAAAAAAACCAAGTACAATGCAATTTAAAATATTCACATATACATTATTTCAGTTTACTAAAATATTATACTATTAGCATTGTTCGTATGAATTTGAAAAATATATGTAGTTTCTGAAAAATTCAATAAGTAGCTATAGGCTAATTGAAAATAAAATTTAAACAATTATAATATTCAATTAAGTTTTTTTTATATAATTGATGATAATAATATAAAATAGAAATGTTTGACGATAGTTTGAAATTTTAATTTCAGAAGGAAGTTCAGATGCAGTGAAACCTCTATTAAAAGGTCGTTCAGTAGAAGCGACATTCAGGGTAAAGTCCTCAAATACGGACGGTAATGAATCAGACACGAATAGCCACAGTGCGTTGTTACTTTGTGATGACAAACGTTTGACAGGCTCGTCTAGTAAGAGTAATTATGAACTTCACGAGTTAAAAGATGTAAATCGGTTACTAACTACCAGACACAAGAATCAAATATGACTACGAAGATGCGTGACAGCTTGGTTCAAAGTAATTGACAGCAACCCAAAATGTCCATTGCTAACGACACCAAAACAACAATATAAGAGTTATAAGAGTTATAAGAAAAATTTAAAATAAAAATATTATAAAAATAAAACAAAATAAAAGTTTGATGTAACTAGAAGATCAATTTTATTGCGCAATACATATATTATAATATAATAGAACAAAAAGAGAAGTAAATAATACTAATAAAACCAAAAACGATAGGTAACAATAACTTTATTGTCATTGTACAACTAACTGAATGACTGCGAACATCGAAGTTATCAATTGATTGCGAGGCATGAATGTGATCGGAGTACACTACATGGTGCTAGATGTCAATAAACTAAATAATTGTAAATTTAAAATAATCTTGAAAAAAAAATATAATAATTAAAAGAACTATTCAAAAAATTATGTGTCTATAATGAATTGATTTTATATTGTGTTTGAGAGATATTTATAACCTAAATAGTTTTCTTAATACCTAAATTTCATCTTCAATACTTTTTCAAATTCTATATTACCTATTTATTGAATGGTTTCAATTCTGTCATAATTATTTTTGATAGTTGTAACTACTATGTATTATAATTTAAAAGAACAGCAGATGTCGATAAAATATAAATTCCACCAAAATAAATAACAAAAAGACGCAATGCGAACTTCACCTCAAACTACTATATTAAAGATTGAAAAATCCAAATTTTCATATTTTATTTAATATTGTTCCATCATTGACTTAAATTGGTTGTTAAATTGTGCAATTTTACAACTACCTATATAGAATTGGGAAGTTTAAAAAGCGAAAAAAAATACACTGATGAACTCCGGTGATTGGAGTTTTCAATCGGATGCAATATAATCTAAATAAATATGAAAACAGTTTTACTTTAATTAAGTCTTTTTTAAAACGAACATCATACAAACCTGTTATTATGTGAATTTATACATAGTACATAAATAATTAATAAGTATTCACTCTTAAGTTTTATTGATTTTTAAATGTATTTGAATAATATGAAATATTGTTTTTACATATTTTAATATGACAAGCATTGTGTTGTAAGGTAAAAAATTCCATTTCTTTGATTTTTAAGTAAGCTGTGCATAAATACTTATGATATTTCCAGCAAGTCTACATAAGTTAAATATTATAATCACACATGAGACACAAAAGAGAATACCTATTAACTCGGCAAAAGTTTGATTCGAGTAGCTCAAAGTGTATACCTCAATAGATAAATCTAATCTAATACATGCATTTTTAAATAAAATTTTGAGAAAAACTAACTATTTAATTAAAAATTATTATAACTTTCAACAGAAATATTATAACTTATTTTCAATTTACCGGCACTCTGTGTGCTAATAAGTTCCTAACTAACTCGAATCATTATTTTACAGTAATAATATTGTACACTTAATACTAAACCTAAATTCATCATTATTATGATAATATTTGATTATTGAAAATAAAATACAAAATCGTTACCTACTACCTATTTATTTCTAACTTATTATATAATAGTTAAACTTCTTATCTTTAATATTTTAGTTTTCCAATGGACCTACATTTTAATACTGTTTATTCTAATTATGTATAACCTATTTTCTTGTGTCATGGTCTTGTCGCTTCCCAATTGTCTTAAATACAATCATGAAAATGTATGTAAAAGTTGAATTGTACTTGCAAAATTGTGGTTAGGTATATTTAATTTGTTATTAATTGAAATTAAAATGTTAAAATGTTTGTTGTACAATAAAATTGTGAACTTTGTACTATTATTTTTTAAGCATTCCTAGAGCTATTATTATTATTATGATTATTATTATTATTATTATTATTATTATTATTATTATTATTATTAAAATAATAATCAAAACATTTTGTTTTTATTTGAACCTATATTTAATTCTTAGTCATAAATTTTAATATTACTAGATAATTTAAATGTAAGAATTAGAATATATTTTTAAAATACTTCAAAATAATTTTATTTTTAACTTTGATGCATTTAACGTAATATTATTGCATATTACTTACCTTAAAATCTTCATCAACTTGGAGTACATAATCCACATTACTACCACCAACTACTACCTAAATTTAGAAACTCTGTATAATAGTTGTAAATTAATAACAAAAAAATACTTTACTTACGACAGAGTTATTTGCTTTTTTTATATTCTTTTTTATTTCAAAAATAGGCTTTGACCAAGGAGACAATACTTTAGAATAATACTCAATAGCAATTTTACTTCCAATCAAAGAGTTATTCTTCAGTAAAGAAATATCTAAAAAAAAAAAAATTACCGTCAATACCATATTATCTATAAAATAGGTATTCTTTTTTGCTTATATGGTATGTATGTTATATAAATATCGTATTTACATTTTTACGACAGTATAGATAGTCCGTCATTATACATAAGTCTTAGGTATTACACAAAATGCTTAAAACTATTAAACAAGGTATATAATATTTAAATTTATTCAGAATTTTAAACAATGTCAAAACCTTAATAAGCAATATGTTATAAATATTGATAACAGAATATATTTTATAAATATCAACAACTTTATGTCACTTATGCTACTATTTTAATGTTACTATGTAATTAATGTATTTGTTATTTTTGTTAAAAATAATATGATCTATCATTCAAATGGTGCTCATAAACTACTTATTTCGATCAATAATATATGATAGCAATATAATAACAAATAATAATATTTGGCTACAAGAAATAGTTTTAAAATAAAAAATATCTTAAATTGAATATAAATATTATAAACAAAATTATTATTTTTATTTTTATTAAGATAAAAATAGAAATTTATATTATTCATTCTGAAATAGAGATTGTACAATATTTTGTATTCTTATTGCTTAAAACCAATCGGCATTATTCATAATGCCTAAGAATTATGCATACCTAATACCTAAATTATCCAAAAAGTCGATAACATACCTACAATATAGAATAAATATAATAAAATGAAATACCTATATGAAGTTTATGTTTAAATTAATTTTTATTTCTTACTTGTCTCCATAGATACTCCTTTGGTCACTCGACTAACTTCACTTAAAACAAAGGGAGTAACATTTTTCCCCATTATTCCTTGTTTTGCGCACAAATTTAAAGCATTATTTATTGCAATATCGATTTCAGCCTCTATAAATATAAATTATACAATTTTTTTTTAACTAAAATAATGTTTTGTTATGCAGTTTAGTTACTAGTTATTTTTTCTTCTGGTATTGGAACCGCTAGCAGAACCCCAGATCCAGTATTTTGACATTGTTCTAAAAGGCTGGCTGCTTCTTTGGGTGTAGTTACATCGCACGCAGAATGATACCCACTTTTTTTAGTATAAAATGCAGGAAAATCTCCTTTAGAATTGTATGAAGCTACACAAACGCCTACAGTTTCCTTTAATTTAAATGTATAAGCAAGCTCACTTTATACAGCGCCTAAACAAACATTATAATTAGAGAGCGAAATTAATTTAGGTACCTACCACCCAGGGACGGATCCAGAGGGGGCCTAGGGGCACAGGCCCCCCCAGACATATTATTTCTCAAATTTTTTTCATAATTCTACACATCGTGATATTACTATTTTTCAAATCACATATAATATATATCTGATAATAAAAGAATATAACTAATATATAATACATTAAACAAAGTGAATATATATACAATACACTAACTGCAGAACGAAGTTTCTCTACTCTATGACTTGTAAAAACCCTACGCTCTAGAATGCAGGAAGATCGCCTTACTTCTTTGTGTTTACTATGTGTTCATAGGGAAGTAAAAATAAACATTGACCAAATAATTGATAGATTTGGAAAAAGCGACAATGTAAAAAGACGTTTAGATTTTATAATTTAATATATAACATTTATAAATTAAATAATCATTAATTTATTTATTACATTGATTACCTATGTCCTATACCTACCTACTATTATGACAGATTTTTTAAATTATGAATAAAATACCTATAAAAAAAATTATAGAGGCCCCCCCCCCAGATCTTTACTCTGGATCCGTACCTGCTACCAACTAGTATTATTCTGATGTACCTAAGAGTACTACGGACGAAGTGGAGGGAATTGTGAATAATTTGTAAATCACAAAAGTAGTTGAAAAAAAAATGTATTTGCATATTTTAAAGATGAATTAATTTATTATCAAGGCAATTAGATATTTATAATTTATTATTAATCTCCTATAAGAAAACCAAATTTTTTAAAGTCTCAAGTTTTTATTACAATAGGAAAATATTTAAAGTAATTTAAATTTGATAAACATTTATAGAAAAAAACGAATGTAATAACTAGGTACAAAAAAAATTTTTAACGTATTCTTTTTATAAACGTAATTTTTTATGGAATATTAAAATAACTACAGGCTCTATCAATGCATATTAACATTATATTTTGAGCTTTTTAAAAAAATTTGACTAGCTCTCTAATTATAATTTAGGTCATAATAATACTTATAAAACTTACAAGATACTCTAAAGTTCGTCCTATATCAAGTATGGATTTTATACCAGCAGACACAACCATTATTGGACACCTTGATAGCTCTAATAAATCAGCACTTATATCCATAGAATTTTGACCATCAATATGAACGCCACCAATTCCACCTAGATATAAAAAGAGTTTTTAGAATAATAATTCTTAATGTTAATTCGGACAAAGGGTTACCAACCAATATTTTGTTTAAGGCACAGTGTATGTAAAGTGTTATCTGGATTGTGGGTTTAGAAATACTAGCTTAATTTTTTAATCATTATTCTATACAATTATTTTTAAAATATTTTACTCTGCTATAAGACTTGAATGAATGTTCTATTAAAATGTTATTAAAATTGTATATTTATTAATATATAAATTTATAATACACTAATATATAAAAAAATTGAATTTCTTCTGCATATTTTTTGTTACATCTTGTTCAGTGTTTAACATAAAAAAAAAAAAATTCTTTACGCGGAATATTTCAATATCATAAGTCAACGCTATCACTGTTATAACTTCCAATATTGTAATATTTATTTTTAAAAACTCTAAATGCGAATAAACAACAGATTAGGAAGAAAGGATACAGGATCGTGATTATTGAAGATTAGTGACAGTAGCAACCAAAACTCTCAAAGAGTTGTGAAGGCGCATAAGAAGAAGAAAAATTCTAAATAATATAATATTTTGAATACAACATAATACGCTTCATTTCATTAACTGTTTGTATATATAAACACCCAGTATCAGTAGCATTAATACCGTTTACCGGCTTTGCATTTTTAATTTCCTATACAAACACAATGCCAGTGAACAATGTCAGGCGATTATTTCAGAAAACCCTATATGTTTTACATGTACAAGTACAACCGGTTTGATATTAAGTCAGGTAAGTAACGAATCGTTAACAACTGAAATAAATAATATTATGTATAGTCAGTGGCGCCGAACCTATATGTTAGGTGTGACAGCTGGCACACCTAATTTAGGGGGTGGGTACCCTATAGCATAGTAGGTTTTAAGTATAAAATAACTTACAATTTTATAGTTAAAATAAGACGGAACAGTGAACATAATATTACAAATAACGCGAATGATCTATTCATAGTGTCGTAGCATACACACTGTACCGTGCCACAGTATGATTGTTTTAGGAAAAGCAAATAACTATATTTTAATTACGATAAATTACCAATTTTATACCTAATTTATTTATAAATCTACAACAGTGGCTACAGCTGCTAGTTCACAGTTTTTTAACGCAGGAGATACAGAGTGAAAACATAATATAAACGAACACGATAGTATTGTTATAATTAAACTGTTGGTGTTATCCTAGATTATATATTTTTGTAATGCAAGAATAATATAAATTTGTATAAATTTAGATTTCTTTGATTATTTAATTTATTCGAACAAAACAAGAAATACATAGCAATATGAAATCGACTATTATCATTGATTACAAATAGTAATAATAAATAAAATAGTATAATAAATGCTATTATATAATATTATGAAATATTATATGGGTATTAATTTAGTATGAAAGTAGTTGAAAATAATTTATAGATTTATGGGTAATTACACTGATAACTGATAAGTTATTCAATTATTGGTCACACGACGCATACTCACACAGTGTTTACTAGAGTAAAAATTATGAAGTATGTACTACATACAACAAGACGTTCAAGACCAGTGCTTCTTAACGGGGGTGATATCGCCCCCCGGTGGGTGGTGAAAGAGTACTGAGGGGCGGTGAACTCGTTTTGGGCGATTAGGAAGCGGTGAACTTTTTTTCCGTTAAAAATAACGTACCAAGATCTATTGTGGTATAGTAATTGTCTTCCGTTTATCGATTTTTAACATAATTTGTGATTATGAAATATAAACTACACATACCAGAGGCAGTGCGTTATTATCTAATAATAAAAAAAAAGAAATTGACTAGACATCGTCAAAAGAAGAGACTTACGCCCTCATCTCACAAACTTTGAACCAATTTCAAAAAATTGACTTTGAATCATCACATCAATCAAGCATCACTGATCAATACATTTCAAAACATTTAAATTATATTTAAACATAAATTTTACATTTTGTTTTTATTATAATCACATTTATATATATATATATATATATATATATATATTATTTATTATTTATTATTCAATTAAAAACATTTCATGTATACATACTACTTTTATTTTTATTTTAATGAAATAAGGGCGAGGGGCGTTGAAAAACATTTTGCTTCTTAAGGGGGTGGCAGTTTGAAAAATATTGAGAAGCACTGTTCAAGACCAAGGCGCCCATAGGAAAATTCTAAAGGGGGGGGACAACATTTTAATTTATCAATCTATTCATAAATAGGAATGACCCACGATATAGGAAGAGGTTTACAATTTTATATTATACTATTACATTATATATATATTAAACTGGAAGACTACAAAATAATAATTTTTTAACCAATTTACTATAAAAGTAATTTATTGAAATTTTTATTTAATTAATAATATAAATTGGACACTTAAAACATTAGTTATATTTATTAAAATATTAATTTATAAATATTATATAAATATTATGCTTGTGTTCACACACACATATACATACCGTATTTCTGGAAATATACAATATTTTAAGAATTAATAATTATCCATAGAATAGAAACGAAAAAGCGTATTGTTATTTATAGCTGATAACCTGATTTTCCAAACTAAATAAATAGATTTTTCATAAACAAATTATAGATTTTCATATATTATATTAAATTTTTAAATTCTAGTTAAATAAATATTTTCTGATCATAGTAAACAATTTTCCAAGATTTTTGAAAATTTCCAGGGGGGGACATGTCCCTCCCTTTCCCCTACCCAAATGGGAGCCCTGATTCAAGACTTATAGCTTTTGTCTGAAATCTGTGAAATTACTGTTTTATATTATTTTTATGATAAATTGTTTTTTTTTTTATTGACAAATGATGTTTTAATATTTGTAATTATATTTTATTTGTTCTGAAATTTGTATGAAAATTTAAAATGTCTAGTTTGATTTGATTATGTGGTATATTGAACGATATAAATTGGAAACGTCATATAACATAATGAAACATTGTAAAATTAAAAAAATACGAATTCAGGCAAAATGTTATTAAATTATTTTTCACAAAAACGAGAAAACAAATCTTTACTTGATGACACTAAAATGAAAAAGTTAAGTAGGTACCTAGTTACTAAGTTGTTATTTATTATAGAAATATCTATGAACTATAGGTACTAGAGATTGGAGTATACTCCACCTACCTACTTACCTACCTATCATCTTGGTATTTAATTTAAAATATATAAATCTAAATTATTTATATTCTTAGCAAAAAAAAAAAAAAGAAAATGACAAATCTGATCAAAGTCATGGAACATTTAACCGTACCCATATTTTATTTTATTTGTATTATTTATATTAACTGGTTTTATATTTAAACAGATATTTGAGCCAACTAATCATTTAAGTATATTTTTTACAAGGCGTACAAATTGAATTATTGGCTGCTATTGAATATATAGAATGTGTACTTGAAAATATTCAAGTTTTCAGAGATGACAATCAGTTTAAAAAATTAATCGAAGATAAAAATCAGTTTGTAATATCTAGAAGTGACGAATTATCTTTTACGCCATTAGTAGCAAATAGAAGAACAAAAAAATAAAATGCCGGGTGAAATTATGTCTGATGAATCTATCAGCTGTCCACTTACAAATTTTAAAATTAATACTTACTTCACAATCATTGACATTGTGTGTACTAAAATGAGAGGAAGATTTAATAACCAGTCAACAATATTTACCACTTTTTTAAGTAAAGCAAATAATAGAAGTTAAAGAAAAATCAAATTTACCAACTGATGCATTTGATAGTTTTAAAAAAAATGTATGAACAATTTGTAAAGGCTGAGGATTTGAGACGTGAATACAGTTTGTAAATTCATATTTAATGTTTGCAAAATTAATAAAATTACCAGTAAAGTTACATAAGACAATACCATGTGATGATGATACCAGTGATGACATCGAAGAAGAGAACTCAGAAAATCATATTGTCAACAACTTCTGGAACAATAAATATAGTATACAAAGTATGTCAACAAAATGGGCTAAAAAAAGTATTTGCAGCTATTTATACTATATTCATCAAATCCTAGGAGCGTTCCCCTACCTAATTCTAAATCTTACTAACCTTTTTTAAGAAACCCATGAGGTCTAAACCTCTTCTGTTATACATATATGTTCATAAAAACTTTATTTTCATAGGGTGTGAAAACAAATTTCCCCTTAAGAAAAATAATTCTATACCTATGCCTGTTCAGTAAAAATAAATTGAAATACATAGTAGATAATATTTAAAAAACTTTACTTAAACTTAACAAAACTAAAAAGAAACAATTACTAATCTTGCTAGTTGTTGGTCAACGTGGACAGTAACAAATACGTACATTGCACATAAGGTGTGTACTGTCTATAAGATAGTGTATATTACACTTTAATATTTATACTTTTTATAGTTATTCTTTTCTGTTTATATTTATTCTAAATAATAGTCAATATCACTATCACTTTAATTTTAGAGCTATGAGTAATAACCGCTCGGGGATCATCTATAATTAGACACAGCGTTAATTAAATTAACGCATAGCAGTGGCGTATACAAGGGGGGGTGTTTGGTAGATATGACACTCCCCTTGAGTATATTACATTATTATAGGAATATAGGTAAATCGATAATACAATATGAAATATAAAATAATGCACAATACTAATTACATATATACAGGTTAACATTATCGCGATTGCGACAATACGTGACGAAAATTATTCGTTTACGTTTTCGTGCAACACAAAACGTTTAATAATAATAGGTATTGTAGCATCGAATACTGATATTCGAATAGTCAAGTATTCGAATAATTCATGGTAAAGCTATCCGAATTCGAATATACATTACATCTCTATTACAGACATTATATATACATATTAATTAATTAAAATAAAAGTTTTAGTTCATACGTATTATATACAATATTTAATAATTATAATTAACACCCCGCTTCAGAAAATCCTAGCTACGCCACTGACCCATGGTGTACATTATCTACCATTTTTGCTTATCGTTATACCTAAATATTATTTCTTCGAAATTTTTTCCACTTTTTCAAGTTAATCAAGAAAATAAATTTCAAGGAATATTGTAATGTATAATAAGTATTTTTTATTCAATATTATATTTTAATGACCAATGCCATAAAGCGTCCACCCGGACTTTTGGCGACTTAAATTAAAGAAGACGCATAATCTTACCTTAAATAAGAAGGAGGACTCCGTCCCCTTCCGTCCCCCACCACTTTAACCACTGATATCTATATGACAATATGGTCTTAATAAAAATATAAAATATAAATCAGTTTTATTGTCAATATCCTTTTCTGATGATCATTTATTATGTAATTCATTTCTATGCTAATTAAAAATTAAAGTACTTATATATATTAAAGTATTAAACAATGTGAAAATTCAGTAAATAATACAATTTATTTGTGAAAATAATATTTTGTGTTTAAAAAATCCGTATTAATCAAGGAGTGTGAGAGGCTCTACCCCCCACGGCTTAGGTTTCATACTGTGTAAAGATAGGTGGGTATAAATGAATGAAAATTGCCACATTTAAAAAAAATTAGTTCGGCGTCACTGTATATAGTGTATTACAAATAGCATGTAAGTTATGCCTACCGGTGACGAAGAATTGTATGCCCAACGCGTTGGCGATCACTAATGTCCCGGACACCGTAGTGCCTCCATTTAAGCCCTAAAATCGTTTACAAATAACAATGGTTAGTACATTGCTCTCCATTGGATAATGAAGAAAAAAAATTTAAAAAATTATGTGCCACGACTGGTGAAAAGAACGCGAAACGTTTAGCTTTACTTGGCTGAGCACGTAAGGGAAGTCCCTTCTAGAAACCTTGACTGTTTTCTTCTCGGTCGGCAATCCGAGTGCGTCAATCTGTTCGGAGACCATGCCGGCTTTAACTCTTCCATCGATCACACCGATCGTCGCCGGGACGATGCCCTGTAACAAATCGTACCTCGCATTATAATAATACGTCCATGCGGCTCCGCAACTATCACGTGTGCAGGGTGGGCATATTGCATCCCATCAAACCGATTTAGAACTTAACAGCTGAACAGAAAAAAAAATAACATTTAAAATTAATAGAAATATAATTCGATAAGAAAATATTATTTCGATAAACTGCCACTGTTCCGCTCCACATTTTTTTAATAATTTATGTTCGGATACCGTTGAAGTATCTAGTCTTTTAAATTGTAATTTATGTAGGAAAAAAGAAATAAACAGTCGATCGACTGCTTCTTTTAAATGTTTATCATTTGTCTTAGCCAATGAAATAATGTTATTTGTTTATCAAAAAATATCTAACTATCTAAATAGCCCCTGGATAGGCCCCGTAACATGGATTGCAAGCTCCAGCCCAGCAACGACCATGGCGGACGGAAGACTTTCTGTATACGCAGTAAGGCCACGACAATCCGGACGAGATCGGGGAAAAGGCGTCATTTGGCTTACATACGACTGATAAAAAAAATAATCCGTTTTCTTCCGATTTATATTTTAAAATTTAATATTCAATCGAAAAAACACTATGAATACGTTTAAAATAATAATTATCATTGCGTGTGCGTATAAAAAATCGCGTTCGTTCGAGATGTCGTTTATTTTGAACGCGTGCACTACGCATCGACCGCTGTCGGACCCGTTCGGGTTGACGCGACCTCACGGCAATTGTATATGCGACCGATTTTACGTGCGACTTGATGATGCGTTCCATTTCCATAGCGGTCTGCACGTTCTTGGGATACGGTAGCCCATGTGTAATGACGGCCGACTCCAATGCGATTACCGGCCTCCGGTTGTTCAGTGCGTCCCTCACCTCAGCCGTCACGTCCATGGAGCCCTTGGAGAAGTGACGGCGAACGTGCTGATGAAGGCAGCCCCTCATGGCACCGCGGTGCATCCGGAACGGACGCGGAATCGGAATGGGCAAGCGCGCGTGTTCGCCGCGGTCGGACGTGAACGGTTGCGAACGCTACGATGGCGGAATGCTCTCGCGGTGACGTACTCGACCGGGTGCCGTGCACGGGACTGCGGTGTAGACCACGACCGCGCAAGAGCAACGGTCAACCGTTGTTTATCGCTTCGCCCGAAAAACGGTCCGATTGCACGTGACCTTTGCACGCCGACGGCGGCAGATAAGTCCGTTCGCATTCCTCTGTTTACAGTAACGGTTGTGCGCTACAACCGATACGACTGGAAACGCTACACACGAGATAAACGCGTAAGTATTCGAATCGAACACGAAACATCTGCGCCGGTTTGTTGTACGACCGAAAACGTAGCCGGCGATAGACTTTGTGATCGGGCCCACGGTATTGATGTGTTTTTCGACCGGCAAACATTAACATTTTCAATACGTAACAGGCGTTCGAAATAATTCAATTTTATTTTAAGAGAACATTTCGCCGAGCATCGTCCGATTGCGGCCCAAAGTAACCGTTTCTACCTTTTCGCCTCACCCGATTGCGGCCCGTACATCACAGTAGGCAGATAATATTATTTTCAATGGTTATCAAAACTAAATGAATATCCCACGTTTGGGTCCGATACGTGTTTCGACATAAGTATAATTATTGTATTCGCGATTCATACGATCGCCAATATTCGGCGTGGTATTTTCAGTCCAATGAAGATAAATAAAAAGAACGGGTATACTGTAAGAATGCAAGGTTGCTAGTGGAACAAAGTTGTATATTGTGCTGTTATCGATTAATTATGTGTTGTTTGGTTACTTCGTTTTATAGTGTAAACGATTGAAATTTATGAAATGATAAGCGGAAAAGATAAACAAACATTAGTAATGTTTAACTATAAATTTTGCTTTCATAAGTTATTACCAAATGAAGTAGAGAAAAATAGTGTTTTATAAATAAAAGTTGTTAAAGGTTTTTTAAACGATAAAGATATGAAATTTTAATTAGCAAAAGAAAATTTGACTTTGAAGATCACAATCATGAAACCAATACTGAATATATATTAAATATCACATGTCAAAAAATACGTAATTTTATTAAAAAAAAAGCAACTGAAAATATTTGTAAGCGACTGTCGATATTAATCCATGGTAGTTTAAATGAAAATGGTAAGTTCATGATTTATAATTTTACATACACATGTATTATTAGTGACAACATTTATCACATCCATGTATATTTCTAATTGAAGGGTTTGGTGCAAGAACCAGATATCTCCATTTTTTTAAATTGTTCAGGAAAAACAAATAACCAAATAATTTAATTTCTGATGGAGATATATTATAAAAGCATATTTGAATTCTCCAAATGAAGATCTAACTATACATGTATATATATTTACACTTTAGATTATCTCAAGGGGATCGGAGTCAGTGCGGTTTTAATATACAAAAACATGTCTTAAAGGAAAAACTCTCGCGTCCTATAGAATTGTCGAATTTTGTTAATTTTTTTTTTTTTTTTTTATTCAAAAGAAAAAAACATTTCGCAGGCCGGATCAAAATAAAATTTTCAAAATTATTATTAAAGAATCTAAAATATGCATTCCAATATTGCACAATATTTGCTTTTTTTCAAATGTAATTTTCTAGAACTGTTCAAAGTAAAATGAAAATTCGGGCTTTGATCCACCTGCAAAATGTTCTCATTTTTCAGAAGAAAAAAAAATTATCAAAATCCGACAAATAACTGTGGCGTGAGAGCAGGGGCGGATCTAGGGGGTGTTCAGGAGGTCAGCTGACCTACAGTTAATATTTGTTGACAAAATTGGCCTCTTGGAGATTTTTTCTATTTTTAGACCTTGATTTGGACTCATAAGGTACGGTTTCCAAGCTGCGGCTGGCTGCAGCGGCTAGCCGCAACGGCACACGTAGTCTGACTGTGCTATTTAAAATTGTGGAGCGTGGTTTCCAACGTGCGATCGACGATTGCGTGATTTAAATAGTCGTTGCGGCTCGCGGCTATTGTGGTCTGGTAGCAGTACATTGTGTGAGTCGTGGTGCGTGTCATATAGTGTTTTATTGTATTTTTTGCATTTTAATTAAAAACTATGTCAAAATCTACATTTTCGTCGAACAATGATGAAGTTTTGGTGGAAGAAGTTGAGAAGCAATCCGAATTGTATGATAGCTCCCACGAATACATAAAGATATTATATTATATTATCAATAACTTCTTCCATCACTATACTTTGTTAACAAACTAACAATTAACAACAAAACTAGTATAATAAATAAATTATTTACCAAAAAACACGTCTGTACTCTACACAATATTAGGGTAAAATGAACTCCGGCCGCAACGTCTAGTCGTATTTAGGAACCAGTTGGCACGCAACGTTTAGTCGTTACGGCTGATCGTTGCGGCCAGCCGCAGCTTGGAAACCGTACCTTTAGACAGTTGGCCCATCGGAGGTACTTGAAAAAGAAATGCCATGTATATTCAAAATTTAAAATTTTTCAATTCATTATTTATATTTTAAATTATAACGTCTTAGTAGAAAGTTAAGTAAATCATATTTTATTCCGTACGTTTGTTGTGCTGATAAAATTAGATTATATTTATTAATCGTAAATAAGTCATTATCCGTGGTATCACTAATTCTAAAATATATAAATATACATTTTCATGAGCATATTGTGTTTTTTTTTTTTTTTTACAAGGTATTAATTTCTAATTCAATTTCATCCCTAATAAATGGCCTCTAGAAATGGCTTGACCCACAGTTCCCCGACTCTGAATCAGCCCCAGCGTGAGAGTTTTTCCCATAAAAGCATGTTTGTTCATCTAAACAGTGCTTCGAAAGTAACCAAAGTCGAATAATGACTTGTGCGTGCGCGTGCGTAAATATCCTTATCTGCACATTTGTTACCGCACACAACCAGTATTAAATTGCGTATCGCAGTTCCCGATAAGATTAAAAATAATTTGCTATTGACGTTACGGCGTTATATATTATATTCGGAATAAGATCAAGCTTCGGCGGTCGTTATATTTTCCGTACGATCGTATCAAACCGTCAGTCGTCACTCGCGCACCATATCGTTGGTCAGTCTGCGCTCCAGAACACCAATTTCTTTTGTTCAATTGTTATTCCCTATATTATTTTGTTTTACCTGAAGTAATTAATACGTAAAACAAATTCCTATAATTTAATTATTTACACTTTATTTTATTATAATAAAAAAAAAATAGTACCCGTTTATCAGTTACAAATTATAACAGCTGTCCATTATATATTTGTATATATTATTATATTATCGTAAAAATTTATCTAAATAAAATATAAACTAGTATATGATAATAATTCACGACTAATAATTACAATAATAATAGTTTAAAAAATTGCTATTTATTTTAAAATTGTAGAATTTACAATTTCTTTTAGTAAATGACAATTATAAAATTCGACCAAATGTGTTTCCACATAACACATAACCCATATCAACTATACTACGACCCTTAACATTAAATCTAAAAACAAAAAAAAAAACTGTTGGAAAAATTGCAAGCAAGTAGATATACCGTATATACATATATAACTTACAATTGGTTAAGACCATAAGACACGTTTTTGTCTGTAGAATGGTTACTCGTTGATGGTGTATAAACTTTTTAGAACTACATTGTGTTTTAGAAACATTTTCTGTTTTATTTTTTAAACCAAAACTAAACATAGGTAAATAAAAGAAATAATTAATATTTCATGAACATTATTACGTATAATTAATGTATTAATTTGTTTACAATATGATTCACTAACCACTGTATAGTATATTACTATATTAGTATTATATTATATTATTGTATCCGTGTTCTATTTATTATACATATAGCAATGGCGGCTCGTGATGTTCAAAGTGGGTGGTGTGCAAAAATTAAATCACAAAAATTTAATTACAAATAAATTAGATTCAAAATGCCATTATCATGATATTTATTGGATTTTTACATATTTTTAAAACATGTATTATGAATTATAATATTACATATTTGTTATAATTTATTGTATCTATATATTGTTACAATAAGCAACAGTGTCATAATTAATTATAAAAAGTAGGTATACAAAAATTTAAATATTTTTATATATAAAGTCAATTCTTCTCTCCTTGGAATTGGCAAATTGTTCTATGACTTTATTATTGAAATCAGTTATATTCATTACAAAGTTTCTTTCGATGGATAGCATTGCTAACGCCGATAATCTTTCTTGATGCATTGTATTACGTAAAAATGTTTTGATTCTTTTTAATGTAGAAAAACACCTTTCTGATTCCGCTGTAGACATTGGTATTGTAATAATAATTTTTAACAGCTTCATGCTCTCACCTAATGTACCAGTAAGGTTTTCAGATTGTATAAATGATAATAATGAAACAGCTCCACTCATGGATCTAAATTCAGTTCTGCTATAGATTAATTGTAACTTGGTTTTTAGTTTTTTAGTGTCAAAATATGGATATACATTTATAGTTTCATTAAAATAATCTTCCGGAAAATGCTTATCATATTTTTCAAAATTATCAGCCAAAAATAAATTTGAAGCAACCAGATGACCAGTAAAATCAAATCTTTGTTTTATTTGAGGTATAGTATTATCACACACTTCAATTGCTTCTCGTTTTAGTTCGCCTTCTCTGTGTTTTCTTTTATTACCACTCTGTTCAAAATTACCTTCACATAACGTTCCCATTTGGTTTCTAATTTTGGAAATCTCATTAATAAAATTTTCAATATTATTTTTCACAGTTGTTGAATCATTTTCTCTTTTTTGTAATTGACTATACAATATATCGACATAAGGCATGATATTGTGAAAAATTGTAAGCCAAGAAATAAATGTATTATCAAGTAATGTTCTTTTTAGTCCCGATGCCTATTCAATAGTAGGTATATGTTTAATGGATTCATCACTTATTATTTTTTCCATGCAAGTAATCAATTCTTCCCTATACTCGAATACAGTATTTACTGTTTTAGAATGGAAATTCCATCTTGTATGAGCTGCTTTAGGTAAACGTCTTTGAAGAACTTCGTCCAAAACAGCAGTTCTTTGAGAAGACGTTGAAAAAAATTTATAGAAACCTCCAAGGCTAGCAAAAAAAATCCGAATATTCCTATTTATTGAAGCAGCATTAGCCATAACTAAATTAAGCTGATGAGCGTAACAATGTACATAATTAGCATTTGGATAATGTTGTTTAGTTTTTGTCTGAACTCCGTTAATATTGCCGCTCATAACTGAAGCGCCATCATATGTCTGTGCAATCAATTTACCAGTGACATCACCAATATGTTGGGCAAGTTGTTCTTTAATGCACTCAGCTAATACTTCAGAATTATGTTCTTTAGGCTTCAAAAATCCCCAAAATCTTTCAACAACTTTACCATTAACTATATACCGATAAACAATAACCATTTGAAAAAATAGCACTCACATCAATAGTCTCGTCAGCTGTTATTGCTAAATAATCAGCTTTTTTGATTTCTACTGATATTTCTTGCTGACAAATATTTAACACTTTAATAATTCGTTCTGTATAGTTTTTGACGTACCTTTAAAAAAGGTTGCTTTTTCTAAGTGCACTTTTAATGCACTATCCAATTCCGCACTAAAACTTATTAAACCACGAAAAATTCCTGAATTTAAAGATGTATCTTTTTTATCATGCCCTCTCAATGCTAATTCGAAAGCGCCACAAAATCGAATGCAATTAATAATTACATTCAAAATGTATCGATTGTTGGAAACTTTCTCATTGTGTAGCTCTATATCTAAATAAAAAATACATTTTTAAACGACCAAACAGTAATAAAAATAAAGTATATAAATAAATACCTCTTCTGTAACTGCTATCCAATATTGAAAGAACATTGGTTTTACCTAACGTTGCTAAATCCAAGGTGTTATTCATATGCTTAACAGTTAAGTCGTGTTTTTTTCATTCGATCATTTAAATGATTTAAATCTGTCATTCCTGTTTTGGTCCATACCATTTCTCCACCAAATAATAAACACGGAAAACAAAAAACTGCATTACGTTTATCACAACCACAGAGCCAATTATTATACTTCGTGTAAGTATCAATGGTAAATGAACGCGTAAATTGACGTGTTTTCTTTTTAATGACTTGTATTAATTTCAAATCAGGCATAGGTCTCCCTAATGTTTTTATTTTAATTTTTTCGTCAATTGTATGTAAAGAAAACTTTTTTTCTAAAAGATAATCAACCGAATTCATTATTTATATTGTAATATAAATGAAATTGTGAGTATGATGAAATAAATCTACTACACATAACAAGTGAACAGAGGCAAAATGATTACTAACATATTTTATTATTATAAAGTTCTTTTGTTAAACTAAAAATACATTTATTGGAACAAATATTACGATAATAATGACGAAAATAGAAAATACGGTGGATTATTTCTGATAAGACACGCCGTGGCGATATTGTTTACCGTGTGTATTACCGAGTGTGCAGCAATTACTGCACACCACGGACCCATTTATGCGTCAACCCCCACTCCACCGACGACGGAGAGTATTTCACAGGCTGAAAGTTTTCTGGCTGAACTGCACACCAGATGAGTGTGTATATTACATAACTTACCAAATTTTAGGAGTAGTATTTTCGAGTTTTGGTGAATATGAAATGTTTGTAAAATTTATTTTGTATAATAAAATAAATATAATTTAGTAGATAATTCAATTAAATTTTACTTTTATATCAATGATAATCTATGTGGTGTGCGCACACCTAGACACGAGCCGCCACTGACATATAGTACTTACTTCATATGTTTCCATCTTTTTTTTCTTTTGATAAGTTGCTACATTCTTTTTTTATTTTAATATTTTTTTTGTTTTCCTTATCTTGTATTATTAGCGACAAAATAAAAAAAAAACATACAATTCGTCATATAGTACGTAATATTTAATTGTGAATTAGAGTCGATTATAGAAAGCAAGAGACTTCGTCAATTATTGTGATCTCCAGTTGATAAAAATAATAATAATAATAAACACAATTCATAACAATAATTCTATGAAACGATAACGCATTGACTAATAAGACGTATAATATACAAATAGATACACATCCGATAACGCACAGCGAGTGTAATTATCTAATTTTATCTTATTATAGCTCACGCACACTGATATCGATTTACACACTCGCATTCATGCACGATTGGCGCGCCACCGATACAATATGTGAATTGAATTGCCTACATTTTACTCCTTAATGACCATCATTATTTTATACGTACAAATAAGAAAACATGAAGATACCTGGTTATTGCACAGAAATTAAATTGTTTTTTCCATACGTTGACCTAACAACCATTTGAAATAAAAATATAATAACAAATAAAACAATACAGTGCAACTTTAAAATTTTATATGATAAAATATATTATACAATACAGCATAATGAAAAACCACATTTTCATGATATATAATAATAAATTAACTAAAAAATATAGAGATACTCGGTTATTACACCAAAACTCATATTTTTCCTTAATTTTATCTTTTGGTTTTTTAAAAATATTTTCAAAAATATTGGGTACTTTAATTTTAGACCTATTTAAAATATAAACTAAATTGACTTTTCTATCAGAAAAGGTAGTGAAATCGAAAATCGAAGCATTTTAAAACAATGCTAAAAAAAGTGTAAAGAGAAATACATAAAAAACCACATAATATCATTGTAAAATCTTAACTCCATTCAGAATCTAAAATGGTGGTTACTAGGTATTATAACATAGCTTAACACATTTAATTTAAATTACGTAAATAAATAATAAATCTGATATGTGATAATTGATAAAATAACAATATTATGTTATCATACAATGTGGCATGAAGCATGAACAGTGTTGCCCATGTCTCAGTGCATTAAAGTCGGGACACACATAACGAGTGTTGATCATCATTCAGAGGAGAAAAGCACAGTCTCGTGTACTTACTAACAATGGTTTAGATATCACCGTATCATGGCTCTTACCGCTCTCACCGAATGGTGACAGAATCGTACTGGATAAAAATATTTTAATAATTTACGGTGCGGTCACAGCGTTCGGTAGTCAACAGTGATCATTGTTATTAGTGGTATTAGATTACTGATTTACTTACGTCCATTACCCTAGACTCTCCCCCCCCCTTATCCAAAAATGTAATATTTTTTCATGTGTATAATTAGTATGTCATTTGTATGAATGTATCCGACCATTTTCGGAATTTGTACGGTACTCATTCGCCGAGAAAAATTAATTTATTGCGGGAGTGGCTGGAATAACGCGAATTACTTTCTTTTTTTCCTCGTTTTTATAATATATTTAATAATGGACATGGAAAAGTTTATCGAAGAACAAAAATTGTTCTCGATATCCTAAGCATTGTGTACCTACATTCTTTTATTTCTTCTATGTTGACTTCTCCAGTTCTCATCTTCTTCTTCTAATGCAAGTGTAATAACTGCTAATTCATTGTTTTCAAACATAGTTTTCGCATTCAACTCGGTCAAAATAGTGAAACAAACTGAAACAGCTAACACCAGTAGGAAAACGATAAGGTCGGCACAGACGAGCTACGGGCGTTGTACGGTATAATACATGTGTTACAAAAGGTACCTCAGTCAACACTCGGCCGACACACGGATTAGGTAAGGTTATTGATCCATATAAAAATTTTATTCAAGAAAATATTGTCAATAAAATAAAAAAAGCTGGTATTTTTACCATACTTGTTGACGAGACGCAAGATATATCAAAGCATGAGCAATTAGCTATATGCATTCGGTATGTAGACGATTTTTCTATAGACAATATATTCATCAGAAAAGATTTCTTAGAGTTTGTGCATTTAAATGATGTAACAGCTTCAGCATTGGCCACCACCATCATACAATGTATAATGACTTTTGGATTAGATTTGGAGATGTTAGTAGGCCAAGGATATGATGGTGCTGCTGTGATGAGTGGTCAATTTCGAGGAGTACATACAATTATCTTAGAAAAATATCCTAAAGCTCAGTTCATTCATTGCGCAGCTCATACTTTAAATTTGGTTTTGTCACACTCATGTGAAATTCCGATGATCCGAAACTGTATTGGTACAATTAAAACTGTTATACATTTTTTTAGGCAATCCGTATTGCGTGATGAATTTCTTAAAGATATAACAGAGTCAGTAGGATCTACTCACTTGAATCTTGTTTCTCTTTATGAAACCCATTGGACTGAAAAAGATTTGGCAGTAGAACGATTTGCCGAAATATTTTTGTAATAACAGAAGCACTGCAAGCACTACAAGACAGTTGAAGAAAATGTGCATCACAAGCTTACCAATTACAACAAGCAATAGAAAACTCACAGTTTGTAGTATCACTGCTCATTTTATGAAAAGTTTTCTCCTATACAGCAAACCTTAATAAAATTCTTTAAACACAAAATATTGACTTAGTTCAAACATGTAAATATGTAGAAGTCGTAAAAAAACACTCGAAGATATACGAAATGATAAGGAATTTTTAAAAATTGTGACTGATTCTAAAAAAATATTAGGCATTGAATCACTTACAGAATCTAGAACCACAAATCGACAAAAAGGACGAAGCAATATTCCTGCAGAAACAACCAAAACATATTATAAAAGAAATATTTACTATCTATTTATTGATCATGTGATAAGTGAACTAGCTGCCAGATTTTCTAACCATCATGAAAAGATTGGTAACCTCTAAATCTGATTACCAAAATGTATTAAAAATAAAAATGATGCTAAAAACAAATTGATAGAAATTCATAAGATATATGTATCTGCCGAATGAAAAACTTGAAAATCTTTTATGTGAGTATCAACTATGGACCATAAACTGGGAAGGAAGAAGTGATGATTTAAATGAATTAAATGCAATTAAAACATTGGAAAAATGTGATAAACAATTTTATCCTCTCATTTATATTCTTCTTAAAATTTTGGCAACTCTTCCTGTTTCTACGGCCAGTGCAGAAAGTTCTTTTTCAACATTAAAGCGCTTAAAGACTTATTTAAGAAATACTATTGGTCAAGAGCGACTAACTGGACTAGCTCTTCTAAATATATATAGAGATGTTATTGTTGATCCATTAGAAATCATAAACAAACTAGCACAGCGTAGACAGAGATTAAATTTACTTGTATAACATTTAATTTTTTTAAATAACTATAATAATATAAAAAGAATTTTTTTAATGTACCCATATTTGTTTTTTTTTTCTATTACTATAATAATTTCAAGTTAAACCCCCCCCCCCCATTAACAATCTATACCTACGCCCCTGATCTATTTAATATGCACAAGCCATAATCATAACATGTTTTTGATACTTGGTGAAAAATGTGTACATGAATTTGGGAGGGACCGGCCCTGAGCCAGAATAAATTTAAGGGGACTGTGACCACTCAGGCTTCTCAATGACTAGGTGTCTGGTAGCATGACAAAACTACTTAAAAACAAATTATTTCATATATTCACTCTGTATGACCTTTAAGTCTCGATCTCAGTGTATGGAATCACAACTGCGGATTAGTTTTTGGTTTATAACATACCATGTACCACATATATTAAACATAATCAACACTGACTAGTATTATTAGGTACATATTTTTTTTCTACATTTTTCGTTGCAATATAATCAAATACAATGATTGCATTCTAAACACCCATGGAGGTAGCAGTATTATAGACATGAAAACGTCTTGCACACAACACAACGAATAAATTACACAGTTTCCCTAACAACAATTTGGTTGTCTTAGTAAAATCGTAGACAAAATCATAGAATCAATCAATTCCACTTTTTTCAAATATTTGCACAAAATGCATAACGATTTGGACAATGGATTTATTATGACGATCAAGTCATTGATAGGAAACCAGTGCATTTTACTTGTTTGTACTTAACACTCGACGGGTGTGACATATCAATATCACATATTATATCATTGTAAATTATTATAGAACGTACCTATACAATTTATAATTTGTATTATACAAGACATTATATGTGAACAACCATTTATAACATTAGAAGTCCTAATTTTAAAATTTGGCATTGGCAATTAATATTAATTTTTTTTTTATGTATCAGTTTCTGTATATTTACAACAGTGACATGTAAGTACTGTTATATGGAATCTGCAATGGGTCCAAAACAGTACACTACTTAACAAAGTAGTGTGTACTTTTGACATACAAGTATCCAAAAAATGAAATATTATCAATACCTAATCATATAAAAGATGGCATAAATGCTAGAAGTAATCATAATTTTAAATAAATGACAATTTTCTAAGAAAAAGTTAAAATACTAATTTTATTAAATTGTATTAGAAAGTCTCAATTAAAGTATAATTCCATTAAAGAATTATTATTAATAAATTTATTTGTTTTGCTATAAAAAATGTATAGTACTTAACAAGTATAAAATAATAATAATAATAATAATAATAATAATAATACATTGTTCATATTGTTCAATTTCTTAATTTAAGTAGGAGGCCATTTTAAAATTTATAAAAGATTAAGATATGACATAATGTAAAAATGTATAAAAATAAAAATAAATTTTAAAATTATTTTCTTCACTGGCAACTGGCAAGAATACTTCATTGATATGTTCAAATGGAAGACAAAGAATGCATTAGATGTTAAATATTAACGTTTTCCAATGGTATGCACTTGGAAACCAATCGTAGTCAATTTGTCATGGTCAAGAATCTTGCGGCCATCAAAAATAAATGCCGGTTTAACCATATTACTGTAAATTTTCTCGTAATCCAATTCCTGAAACATACATTTATAATATTTATTAAATATACATAATTTTATTTATTATTTTTCACAATAATGTACATAACTAAATTGCAGAATTATTCAATTTAAACATTAATTTGATTTAACTCAACAAACAAATGTTTTCCTTAATTATAATTATTATTACTACACAAATGTGTTATACAAATGGGTAAAAAAATTAAAAATATTTTGCATACGACAGATAATGATTAGATGCTATAATAGTTTATGTTTTAATTTTCATACTTTTAATAAGTATAACCTAGTACAATACAAAATATTATTTGTAAAAAAACTCACCATAAATATGTCCCATTCAGTGCATATCACAATAGCATGTGTATGATGCGAAGCCGTGTAAGGATTATCATGTATTTCGATGGATTTTATTACTTTTTCTGGATTATCAGTCACATATGGATGAGTAAGGTCTTTCACTATTTGTTCAGGTTCCACCTGTAATCAATGAAAAATTTTAATCTGCTATAATTATTGGTTAATGTTTAAATCTTTTTATAAATGTGTAGCATTTAATTAAGTTGAATTTCCATAGTTAACTCAATTAAACGTATTACATAAAATTTAAACGAGGAACAACTTTCAAGATTGAAAATAAATTAGTCACACTGTGTATAGTTTTATGTATGGCAGAGGTTCCCAACCAGGGTACCGTAAACTTAAATGTGCCGCAAAAATATTTGAAACATATATTTTTTTTTTAAACGCCTTCATGAAAAATATAGCACTGTGAGCAGTGGCGTAACTAGGATTTTCTGAAGGGGGGTGTTAATTATAATTATTAAATATTATATATAATACGTACAAACTAAAACTTTTATTTTAATTAATTAATATGTATACATAATGTCTGTAATAGAGATATAATGTATATTCGAATTCGGATAGCTTTACCATAAATCATTTGAATATTTGACTATTCGAATATCAGTATTCGATGCTACAATACCTATTATTATTAAACGTTTTGTGTTTCACGAAAACATAAACGAATAATTTTCGTCACGTATTGTCGCAATCGCGATAATGTTAACCTGTATATATATAATTAGTATTGTGCATTATTTTATATTTCATATTGTATTATCGATTTACCTATATTCCTATAATAATGTAATATATGATACGGCTCAAGGGGGGTGTCATATCTACCAAACACCCCCCTTGTATACGCCACTGACTGTGAGTAATAAAACAGAATATACTTTATGTCTATAGTATAAAACTTATTGTGTATAATTAATTAGGTATATACAATATAATTTAATGTATTAATTATATAACATATAATTTTTACATAGTAATACTGAGATATTCAATCTATTTTAATTTTCATACTGGTTCGATTGCTATTGATTTGATGTAAACTGTTTTAAAGTTATTTACGGTGAAATACTTGTGACTTTATATTATCTTTATTGTTTATTAATGCTAAATAAAACCGAAGTTACAATTATATATTTAAATATATGATATATTACTAGTGTTGGTCAACTATATATTTTTAATTATTGATATTGTATTTTTTTTCCGACATCAATTTAAATAACAACAGGTTAAATTTTATATAAATTAATTTATTGAAAGCACATTAAAACTATAGAATAAATATTATATTAATATATTATGAGAGTAAATTAATTAACTATTATAAATTATTTTGTACTAACTGAAAAGTATCCAATGTATTCAATCAAAAAATTTCTTTTTCGAGCAGTTTTTCTATCAATACTTCAGAACTTGGTTTCGATTTGAAAAATTAATTCAAAAATATCAGTTGATTGAGTCGCTCAGGAGATAATCTATTTCTTTTCATGGGTATGATTGTTCCAGCTTCGCTAAATAACCGTTCACAGGAAATGGCCACTATACTTAAGTATTTTTTGGCTATTAATGATACAACTGAGTATTTTAATGTTCAAATTTCTTCGTCTTCGTCATCATCATCGCTATATATCATTAATGATCATAATTTCTTACGAGGAGAAGAGTGTGTTTCAAAATTGTCTTCATTTTCTAATATTGATTCAGAGATTAATTCTTCTTCATTTTCTATTTTTGGATCAAAAATTAATTCTTTTAAGTCATTTTTAAGTTGTTTCCAAACAGTTCGTTTTTCTTCTTCCGATAGAAATTTTAACTTTCGAAATCTTGGGTCTAATGCAGATGCTTTTGCTAATATTAATCCCATAATTTCTCTTCGATATTTTAAATCATCTAATATAGGTTTTTTAACCATAGTTAAAAAATTAGTGTCTAATTCACTAACTTTTAACGTATTTCAAAGACTTTTTATCAATCTGTGTACTATTGATGCAGTTATGTAGTTTTCTCCACCTAATACTTCTGTGACAATTTTAAATGGTTCCAGTAATTTCAATAAATCTTTTATATTTTTAAATTCACCAGAAGTAATAAACCATTTATCAATTTTTTTGTTTTTAGAAATAATATTATTGATTGAATTTTTACACTTTAAGACATTATCAATTATGTCACATATTGAGTTCCAACGAGTAACGCAGTCTTGAACTAGTTTGTTTTTTTTTTCGCCAAACTTTTCTTGTTCATTTTCAAGTTCATTTTGTGCAGAGGCACTTCTATTAAAATGTCCCACTATTTTTCTCAGTTTATTAATTAATTATTTTACCATATCATTTTGGAGCCCTGCATTTATAAATAATTGTATAGAATGAGCAGTACATCTAACTAAATATGTTTGGAATATCCATGGAATTTATAGCTTTGACCATATTCGCAGCATTATTACATACAACAGTACTAACTTTATTTTCAATGTTCTAAAATTTAAGAATAGATTTTAAATTGTTGACGATATTTATTGAAGTGTGAGACTCAAGAACTTCCACTGTTTCTAAAATGTGTGTACGTAAACACCACTTTTTTAAATAATGACAAGTTACATCTAAATAACTATGATTTGCCAGTGACGTCCAAAAATCAATTGTTATACAAACATGTGGAATATTTTTTAAAAAAACATTTTACATTTTCTCTTTCGTTAATTGCAGTCTGTTCAACAAGTCTAGTTTTTTGTTTACTAGAAACAATATACTCAGGTACGGATATTTCCATAAATTCAAGAACACCTTACTCTTCTATAATACTCAAAGGTCTTAAATCTTTAATAACAAATTTCATCAGGCTTTTTGTTATTTCCTTAGCTCGTTTAGTTTTGTTTGATAATTTGGATGGAGTTTGCTTAAAATATGGAATCAAACTGTTTGACGTACTTGGTTTTGTACTTGAACATTGCTGAAAATGTGATTTAAGATAAGTTGTATTTCCACTATAACCAACAGCACATTTGCACTTCTTACAAAAAACTTGATTTTTATTTGATATAATCCCCTTTTATATTAACTTTAAATCCAAAATGTTGCCATATATCACTTCTAGCACCAGACAACGGTACTAATTTAAAATTTTCACTAATTTTATTTAATATAAATATAAAATAAAGAATGAAATAAAATAATTATGTCTCACCGCGAGTTAACTACCGGCACTGAATTTAGATAAAATTGTTTGATGTCGTGAGCTATTTGAAATAGCTAATTTATTTTGGAATAACCTATTTCTTTGAAATATATGACCTCATATTATAATTTAGTATCTACTTTATACTTTTATAGATATAATTGTATTATATACTATTTACTCATTTTAATTAAAAAATACCGAAAATAATTGAATCGTTCGGAAAATCCCGAGTCCCGAGTCCCGATTAATCACACCGATATCGCGATATTTTCGATAATTATTTTTAGATATCGATATCGAATTATCGATATCGTTGGACAACACTATATATTACTATTGCGTATTCAGTATAAACTATAGAGTATAAAGCATAGGCTATAGGATGCATCCAAATTTTTAGAAAATAATAAAGGGTGCCGTGAGTTAAAAAAGGTTGGGAATCTCTAATGTACGGAATCAGAACATTTGCCCGACACTAAATTTGCCCAGCACTATGTTTGCTCCACAACCTCAAATTATATTATAAATAAATATGTGTCAAAAATTACTAAAAATTTCAATAAAATATTATATTATACCTATTATGTTGTTTACAAATTAATGACAAATTTTAAAATTATGCAATTAATAATTGTGTCAAAAATTAATAATAACACAAACATTATACTACTTACAATTTAATGTTATGAGCAATTCTTATGAATCTATCGCGAATAGCGGTAAAATACGATTGAGAACGTTATTTTTGGTAACACGATTGAGAACTTAATAATATAATATACTATCATTGATTAAATATACATAGATAGCCCACACAATGGTAATGTATGGAAGCTCCCAATAACCGACCAGAGGAGCCAGAAATCTAGTAATATGGGAGCTAGACATCAGAGTGCGCTATTTTTGTTGTTCAGTGGTCATATTATACGGCTTTGAACCCAGGGGTTTCGATTTCGAATCCAGTAAAATACAACAGATTTTTTTTTTCTTTTATTTATCTTTACAATACGACTATTGACTAAGTATATCTTAAGAATTTATTCATATTGAAATTAATTAAACATGGCTGAGTATTTTTTAATTAATATATGATCATTTTAGCTGTTTGTTACCTATAACAAAATTACTAAACAATTTTCGAAAAAAGGTTATATGTTGTATTAACGATACAATTCAAAATTGCAAATATGTAAATTTAACGTAATGAGTGAATTAAGTATGATAATATAAGTGTACAATTTATAAATAAATTTTTAAAATAAAGTTTTATATACATTGTTGTACATCTATTTACTACTAAAAATGAATATAACTATTAAAATATTTTGTATCTATGTATAAATTTATATCATACAGTCAACGTCGACGCGCGTTTAACGCCTCTAATGTGAACTAGCCCTTAATCAATGGATTTAGTAAATAACAATATTCAATTTAATTTATATTCATGGAATTCTTATCGCAGTTTATTTTTATTCTACCGGTTTGTGTATTGTGTTCAATTTAGTATTTACCAACGCTATCTATTGTCACATAATCCGTACTAATTTACGTGTTTCCATATTGCGTATAGCTATGGGCTATCTATGTATATTTAATCAATGATCCTATACTATACTACTATACTATATTTAATACATAGTACCTTTTCACATAGAACGATAATATCCATGATAAAATATTCGTATGATTTAGTTTTTTTTTTAAATTATTGTATATTAATAAATAATAATAATAATAATAATAATGATAATAATAATTATAAAAATAATGAAATAGTAATAAAATATATTACGTACAGTAAAAATATGTAAAATATATTGTCGGGCCTCGGGCATTATGTACTAATAGAATAATATAAAATTACAGAATACAATATTAAAAATATGATAAAACATTTTTTATTTAAATTATTTATTACATTTTATGTTAAAAATTGATTATTTCAATAGAAATTTATTTGGAGAATATATCTTTAACTATAAATATTTTGTAGATAGAATGCATCTATTGTTTTTTGTTATTTAAATTCTATTAAATAATACCTAATATTTATTTTTAATTAAATATTCTAAAGCAGAATAATTATAATTATAATATTTATATACCTAATAAATTATATTATTATATAAACTAATTAATGTATAGTTAGTTATAAAAAAACAATTTATTTTTACGTTGAGGGATGAAAAATTTTAAGAAGGTTAATAAATCACACTGATTAAAAAATGTAATTATTTAAATCACAGATAAATGTTGTTAAGTCATATTGTGCTCATGGTCATATATAATCGTAGATGTTTCCCGTTTGTAGGCCTATGAAAAATTGCTACCCTCAATAACTAAAAAACTATCTATAATATATATAAAAGACTAACTATTGACCAAGTTATCATTTATTTACTATAAAATATACATTAATTAAGTAATATATTTTATTTAAATAATAAGACATGATTTCTTAAGAGTTAGAAATTTTTTATTAATAATTAATAACTACATAAAATGAGTAAAATATATTTTTCAAACTTGGATATAATTATTAATTATTTTGGCCTATGTCGAAATTTAGTAGGTAGTAATAAACGTGTCGATTAAATCTTTAAAATTCAATTATTTTAACATGTCATTCTTTATTGATAATAATGCCAAAATTGTTTGCTTTTTTATCAGTTTGAATCGATCTTAGATGATCAAATAAAATATAAATCAAATGACTAATTATATCACGTATAGTAATTAAATTAGTCACATATTAGTAATAAGTCGATTTTCAATAGTCATTATTGCTCATCACTAGTAGTCATTACAGAACTATTTACCACAACAAAAAGTAGAAGCTATATTTTCAAAAAATCAGTAAATTTGTGTTTGATTTATAATATTTTGCAAATCATCAATCTTTAGTTTTGCAAAATTTTTATATTGGTCACCGCTTAACCGTTTTCTACTTATCTTTACAAAAAAAAGATATAAAAAAAAAATAGTAAAAATCATCAATAAATAACAATAATTTAGTTGATAAAATAAAGCGAAATTCATTTAAGTATAAAATACTTATATACACAGCAACATGAATAGAGACTGAATTCAGAACAATTGTTTATTGCTAAACATTTTATTTATTAAAACCATTGAAAAGGATTTCATTAATAAACATTCCCGAATCATATATATTTAGACGGCGTGACAGACACGTAACCAGACATATTTTTATAAGGGGGCCAACATTTTTTGGCCCTTTCTGTAGTTGTGTTTATTAAATGTGCGTCCGATATCCGTATTTGGAATTCTTAGTTTTAAATCTATTAATACACGTACTATTGTCTTATATCAAATTGTCAAATGACGAATATTTATAAAATAGAATCTCAGAATTTAATTTTTGTTATACGATCATTAATTATATGGAATGGGCGCATGTAAACTCCGCCACAAGTACCTTTTTTTACTGTAAACTCCGCCAGAAAAATAAAATAGGTGAAATTGGGTTCATGTAAACTCCGTCACTAAAAAAAAATCAGGTAAAATCGAATACATTTAAACTCCGCCAGTGAATAAAATCGAGTAGTAGTATAAAATTAATATGATATATTATTAAAAGTAATACGTAATAAGTAATAATAATTAAATATTATTATTACAATATTATATAAAATCATAACTCCATTTTATTTCACCAGACGCATATTTTATATTTAGTTATATTTATAGTTGTTAAATAAAACTAATAAATTGCCTTGTTGACCAGTAATTAATTTTATATTATTACTTTGTTGCGACATATTTCGTTCAATATAAAATATACACGGAAACACGCAGACTACGAACGATTATGTTCTAATTTTCTTTTCTAATTTTTATATTCTAATTTCAGATAATATGAAGATAAAATTATTAATAAATGAATCAATGTAGATATATATCCTCCTTGAAATTAATCGAACCATGACAATAATTTTATCAATTTCGGCATATATCATCGCAATAGATGTAAACGTATTTAATGTGAGAAGGCACGTGGCAACGTGAGCACTGAGCAGATAAACAAAAAAAAACTGGAGGAGTTTACATATACCCATTACAAGTAAGAAAAAAACTGGCAGAGTTTACACTAGACCTTTTATTATCTTTTTATCTTAACCGATATTCTAGCGGAGTTTACAATCGCCCATATGGAATATACATTCAGAATTTAGCCGGTTTGGGACAACTAAATATCGTAATATTTAAAAATCAAAATCAAGGGGGCCAGACCCCCTAAGGCCACCCCTTGACGACGTGCTTGGGGCGTTAAGAAATTATGAAAATATCTATCTTGATAACTGTTAGTGGGGTAAGGTATTATCTACTATTTTTTCATGTAGGAATAAATGTAACATATTTACAATATCAAAAACCCTAAAAACGTAAATAAATACAATAATATGTATTACCGTAAAACGTAAAATTTACAAAAGTTTGCCGCTGTATGCACATGCCTATAGTGCCTGCATATAAATACGCCCCTGATTATACCAACACATTTAGATGTACTTTTACTATTGTAACTTTAGATGTAGGTATGCATTAAAAAATACACTTCTTTTTAAAGAATTTTCCTTTTTTTATCATTAATTAATATTGTTTTCTTAGCTTACTTTTGGATCATAAATATTTAGCTGGGCTCCTTCATCAAGTAAAGTCTTAGCAACATGTATAGCAGGCGACTCGCGAGTATCGCCGGTATCTTTTTTAAATGCGAATCCGAACATGGTAATTTTTTTACCAGTAACCGTATTGAATAAAGATTCAATAATTTTATTGGAGAAGCGAGACTTTTGATATACATTCATGTCGAGAACCTGCAGATAAAAATCAATATTTAATAAAATGCTAATATAAATAAATAGTATAATTGTTACTTGTTGCCAGTAAGCAGCCACTTGAGGAATATTTAAACATTCACATATATATACTAAATTGAGCAGATCTTTTTGAAAACAACTTCCACCAAATCCTATCACAGAATTGGAATTGTTCAATTTTTTAACAAGCAAATTATTAGTGATCAGTCGAACTGTTCGAATGTCGAATCGAAGCAAACCAAACACCAGGTATTTGGTTCGGTTCGTAATTCGAGTTCAAAATTAAAGTTAATTGAACTGAAGTATTTATCAATTAATTAAATTAAAAATTCGAACTTCAAAATATTATTAATCAAACAATATCTAAAATTAATTTTCTCTGCTTTATAGTAATTAAAATATATCATAATAGTATTAGATACTAATTAATAATTAGTATCATTAATTATATATATATATATATATATATACTTAGGTGTATTATATTTTATACAATGTAATTAAAATGTTTATACTTTTTTAATTCATTTTTTTTTTTTTTAAAGAAAAAAATCCTAAGTTCAAGTTTTAGTTGGATAAAAAATGCTAACAGTTTGGTTGGATTTGGGTTCTTAATACATTGACAATGTTCGGTTTAACACCAAAAAATCTGGTTCATCACTAAAAATTATACATAAATGGATCAATGATGTTATACAATAAAATGCTCACCGACAGATGCTTGTAAAAATTTAGAACCAATTCTGGAATCAAGGCCAATGCCCTTGGCTACCTCACTAACATCTGCACCAGTCACTTCACATATTACTGACATAGAATTAATACTAGAGATTCGTTGTGCTAAAAACGCATTGGCTGCCTGTGAAAATAATATTTTATAAGTATTCATATACCATTAACTAAGGTTAAGGTTTCAAATTTACTAATTTAGTTAGTTCTGATGACCAAGTGTTGGTTCTAAGAATTTTTTTCTCGGGTATCCAATTCAAATAAATATTACTAAGTTCTTTAAAAGCCAATAAGCCATCGGCCGTTTCTTCGTGTCCAATAAGAACTCGATCTGCATTTAACAAATTTTCAACAGCTACACCTTCAGATAGAAATTCAGGGTTTGATAATACCTATAAAACAAAAATTTGTATAAATTATTAAAATATTACAGCAGAAATAAATTTGAAACTGGCTCACTTGAAATTTAACCTTTGGCTTATGATTGGCACTTAATATTTTTAATATGCTCTCAGCTGCACGCACCGGTACCGTACTTTTTTCCACTACAATTTTATCACTAGTTGATACTTGGGCAATGGTCCGAGCACAATTTTCAACGTATGTTAAATCAGCGGCACGTCCCTACAAAAAATAAACATTATAATATAATTGTAATGCCCCCAGGGGGGTACTTTAATCAGTACTACGGGCTTAGCAAACCCGGGGCCCCGAGCTCCTCCTTCAAGGCATAAAGGTTGATCGTGGGGCTGACAACCCCACATTGTAAAAAAACTTTCGTTAAGAAACTTCACAATAACAAGCCTCGGAACTCTATGATTAACTTGGATAAAAGAAATGGAACATGGCCCGGCAAATCTGGAGTCTTGAGATTCGGAACATGGAATATATGAACCCTCTATAAACCTGGAGCACTGCATAATATAATCCAGATAACTAATAATTACAGAACAGAGATAACTGCTCTACAAGAAATAAGATGGCCAGGTAATGGCATTTTAAAATCAGGGAATTCTACAATCTTCTATAGTGGAACAAAAAATCAAAAACATGAAAATGGAGTTGGCTTCATCGTAAAAAATTCAATGGTAGATTCGGTTAAAAAATTCGAACCAATCAGTGATAGAATATGCTACTTGCAAATCTCGGGAAAATTTCTGGATGTCGTTTTCGTCAATTGCTATGCCCCAACGGAGTCGGCTGAAAGCAACGCAAAGGACGACTTTTACGACTCATTAGAAAGAACTTTCGACAAACTTCCCAAGAATTGTATAACGATCATAGTCGGAGATCTAAATGCCCAAGTCGGCCGGGAAGAGATTTTCCAAAGAACAGCGGGAAAGGAAAGTCTACACCTAGAGAGCAATAGTAATGGAATAAGATTAATTAGTTTCGCTGCATCAAAAGACCTAATAATTAGCAGCACCCAGTTCCAACGAAAAGAAATACATAAACATACCTGGACCTCCCCAGGTGGAAGGTTTAAAAGTCAAATCGACCATATATTAATTAATAGAAGACACAGAAACTGTATAACACAAGTAAGAAGCTGTCGAGGAGCTGATGGGGATACGGACCACTATCTCGTGACAGCATGTTTTAAAGTAAAACTATCAAGAGTATGGAACAAAAGGATGAAAAGTAAGCCAAAACTGGATACAGAAAAATTCAGAGACCCTGAAACTAGAAGAAATTTCCAATTGCTAACAAATAATCTACTAAAAAACGAACCCACTAGCTTAAGCAAGAATATAGAAAACAAATGGAAAGAAATTAAGGAAACAGTTAACAGGGCCGCTGAAATCTTTAAAGAAAACATTCGAAAACCAAAAAACTCATGGTTCAATGACTTATGCAAGGATGCAATCAAAAAAAGAAGCGAAGCCAGAAGTAAAGCTATACAGAATCCAACACCGGAAAGCCAAGAAGAATTTTTAACACTTAGAAACCGAGCTAATAAAATTATTAGAAGAGAGAAGAGAAAGGCTGAAAAAGAATTCGTAAGTAGTATCGAGGAACACAGGCTAAACCCTAGAAGGTTCTTCAAAAAATGTAATTCTATAAAGAAAGGTTTCAATGCTCAACTCACTATGCTGAAAGATGATTGTGGACACCTTATTACAGATGAAGCGAATATTGCAAAGAAGTTTCGAATTTACTTTAAAGATCTATTAAATATAAATCAAGACAATAACGTTCCGGAAGAGGTCCACCCGCTTCGCTATACAGTACAGCCAGAGATCACTGAACCAGATGAAGAAGAGATTAAACTAATTATAAAAATGCTAAAGAACAACAAGGTCCCTGGTGAAGACAACATAAATGCTGAACTATTTAAAATTTCGACCCCAAAAATGTTCTCGGAAATATGTACTTTAATCAAAGAAATCTGGAAAAAAGAACAAATCCCTCAGGATTGGAAAATGGCAATAATTTGCCCAATATATAAAAAAGGCGATACAATGGATACAAAAAACTATAGAGGGATAGCACTATTAATACCTGCTACAAAATTTTTTCCACTGCAATATTACGTAGACTGGAAATATATTCCAAAGACATAATAGGAAAATATCAAACTGGATTCATAAAAGGAAAATCTACCACTGACCATATATTTACGATTAGACAAGCATTAGAAAAATATTATGAATTTGGAAAAGAAGTGCACTTATGTTTTGTTGACTTTAGCCAAGCTTATGACAGCATCAATAGAAACAAACTATGGATAACCTTAGAAGAATTTGAAATACCTTCAAAATTAATCCGATTAATAAAGGAATGTAATTCCAACACTGCGTGTAAAGTCAAATTCCGAAATCAATTATCTGAAAGTTTTGATGTGAACACAGGCCTGAGGCAAGGCGATGCTTTGTCGCCATTACTTTTTAATTTAGCCCTTGAAAAAGTGGTAAGGACAATGCCAGCATATCAAGACATGGAATTACTAGGGGAATACTCTATACTTGCTTATGCGGACGACATCGTGGTAATGGGAAATACACGCATCGAGGTAACCACAAAAACCGACGATCTACTTAAAGCTGCCAAATGTATGGGCCTTAAAGTTAACCAAGACAAAACAAAATATGTAGTCGTCAGCAGAAAAAATGAGATAGTAGCTGATGTAAGTGTCGGGGAGTACACTTTCGAAACGGTAAACGATTTCAAATACTTAGGTACTAACATAAATAAGAACAACAATATGCATAATGAAATAAAATTAAGAATCTCAGCAGCCAATAAAGGCTTTTTTGGATTATTGAAACTATTTAAATCTAAACTCCTATCTAAAAAATTAAAGATCAACCTATATCTGAGCTACTTACGCCCAGTCTTGGCGTATGGCTGCGAAACGTGGTCGGTGACAAAAGGAGACGAAGAGAAACTGCTAATTTTCGAAAGGAAAATACTCCGCCGAATCTATGGTCCTATCTACGAAAATGGAGATTATCGAATAAGAACAAATGAGGAAATATACCAGCTATTCCAAAAACCAAATATAAAAGCATTCATTAGAAGCAAGAGACTCGAATGGGCTGGGCACTTATGGAGAGAGAATGGCATATGCAAGCAAGTTCTGATGGGCAGAATCAATGGTAGAAGACCCAGAGGCCGTCCCAGACATAGATGGATGGACACTATAAAATCAGACCTAGCAAAGATTGCACCAGAGACAGAACTAGCAGGAAGTGAAAATAGAGAGAAGTGGCAAGAAATTGTGGAAGCAGCGAAGGCCCTCAACGGACTATAAAAGCTAAAAAAAAAAAAATATAATTGTAATATAACTGTAAATGTAATACTGTTCAATTTTAAGACCGATTATACCAGTCCTCATAAACAAATATTGTGTTGAAAGTAAAAGTGAGAAACACGATTTGTCACTTAAAAACTATAGGTAGGTGTATTAGAGTTTTTAGTTTTTTCTATAGTAAGTATAGAACTAGCAGAGTTATATGATATGGCTTAAAATGAAGCAATGGTTCAGTTTTTAGGATTAGCTAAATCGCATTGGCCCACACATTACAATGTAAATTTAATATCAATATGCAAATAAAAATTGAAAAAAACTTTGTACCTCAAATGTACAATATTTTCTATGCAATAAGAGCTTTGATAACACTATAACCCAGGGAAATATTCACAGAGTAGTAACTGAAGACAATAAAATAAGACAAAGATATTTTAATAACAGTTTAGTGTGTCATTGTGCTATTGCTCATTACTGTTTATTTTATTCATTCCAGACATTCTAAAGATATTTAAGCGGTTTATTTTTTAGTAAGCGACAAAAGCATCCAAGCAAAAAAAAAGTATAACAAAAAACTTGGGTATTTTTTTAACAATTTTCTTATAATCCGTAGCCATACAAAATGTTATAAATAACTATGATAATCTTAACGATGTTTCTAAACATTTTTCTCCGGTACTTACTTTGCCCACACCGAATGTCTTTGTAGGAGTGTTAACGGAAATAAATATTAAATCTGCTTCATCGATCGCTTCTTCTATTTTTGTAGAAAAAAACAAGTTAACATTTCTTTGTTTTTTTACAATGTCATCGAGTCCAGGCTAAAAAAATTGTATACATAAATAATAAAAAAATAAATATGTACAATATTCAATATTGTATTTTACTTCATAAATCGGTAATTTCTCCGAGTTCCATTGATCAATTCGATGAGCACTTATATCAACGACAGTGACTTTAATATGTGGACATTGCAATGCTATCACACTGCACGTAGGTCCACCGACGTAACCAGCACCTATACAGCATATTTTCGATACTGTCATATCTTTCGTTTGTATAAATTTACTGAACTGCAAACAATAATTTTAAATAAAAACACTCTCTTCACTCTTATACTCGTAAGTGTATGTATAAGCATAAATAACAGTTTAATGAGGTTTTAAAATATTTTTTTATGTTGACCTTGTCAGACCGTTAGAATTTATCACTTAATATTATATTGGTACAATGGTACGTAGTTACATGAGTCATTAAACTACTTCAAACCGTTGAAGTAATAGAAAAAGAAGTTAAGATCAATGGTATAACCCTTTTTACGATTACAATTAATTTAATTTAAGTGTTTTAACAAAAATGCAATCTTAAGAGTGCTCATTGTTGTCGTTTAAACTCTTCAGTTCGAGTTATAAATTATTTCTAAGAGATTTGTGTAAAACGATTATGCTGGAGTACAAGATTGCAATAAAACAATTAGTGATTTGCTTTAATCGAAGTTTTAATGGATAAACGAATATTTGTGTGCACTAATGATAAATATACGTATGAATAAAAAAAGTGTTAAAATGAATCTTGCTGGGCAAAATAAGAAATTAGAATAAACAATAGTTAAATAAATTTTATTTTATAAAATACTAGAAGAAAAAAATAATAATAATTATTTAAGAATATTGCTGCAATTACCAAAGTAGTAACATTCATATAGGATTCGGAGTGAATAGTAAAAGAGTAAACAGAAAATCTTGTGGATTTATATAATTTTATCGTCCATATCAATAAAATAAATTAAAACTATACGAACATAATAAGAGTTCAATATAAAATCAATTTTTCAATTTAACGTCTCATAAATTAAATTTCACAATCATTGTTCGTGTTGTATACCAATAAAATGAATGTGTATAACTAGTGTATAACTATAAGTATAACTAGTACTAAGTTCTAATACTTTTTTCATACTTCGATTTTGATAAATCATTACTCACGATACACCAGTGACATACATCAACAATATTGTCGATTATTGATTCGTGCAAATATATACCTATTATTACATTATATAATATGATTCTATTCATTACATACAAACTAACAACAATAAATCTGCAGTAAATGGATACCGAATGAAAGCCGACTGTGGACATTTATCCAGCAGCAGCAATACAGAGTACGATATATTACATCAAATATGTCATAATTTGTGAATTTATATGTACGTATAACTTGTGACGGAAACGAGAAAAGATAAATAGTAACGTGTTTGTTATATTCTGTATTATTCTCATCTTTTCGTGCAGCAAAATATATCATGCTTATTTCCATTGAAATGTTCAGTACATATAATTTTACTTACAAGCTATAAGTTAGAACATAATAAATTATAAACATAGACAATCAAAATTATAATCAGATCAGACACGAAACATACTGTTAATATGCTACCATAGGCAAACATTTGGTTGAATTTTCGGGGGGGGGGGGGGGGGGGGGGCTATAATAATTCAATATAAAATAACCCGCAGGGGCTTCGTCCACACACCTCCTTCTGGTGCACAAGTAAGACTTATTACTATTAAAAAAACAATAAATAATGTATATTTAATAATAATTGAAATTTTATTTTAGTAACAAATATCTATTTTTACCAGCAAAGATATTCAAAATATCATCGCTTTTTATATTTTTCGATGTATCTTTTTCAATATATAGTATTGAAAGATCGTTGAACCTTAGCCAAGTTTTTACTTTTTTCATTGCACTGAAACTTCTTTCGCAAGTAGCCGAACTAATTGGTATTGTTAATACTATTAATAGTTTTTTATTATTTCTTATTTTACGATTTTCAAAAAAAAAAAAACTAACAGATAATTATAAAAACAACGAATAATATTTCTAACAAAGTTTCGATTTTGGAGGGCTATTCAAATATTTGGGAGGCTAAGCCCTCCAAGCCCCTCTGATGTCCGCATGTGTATTACGTATTTATTTGTATTATATTATTATGGTGATACAGAACGCATAAAAACAACCAAATAAAATAATGTATGACGAAATAATTTGAAACCAATTGGTTTTCAGTTAAATTCCTACATCATTAAATTATATGTAAATTAAATAATGTGATATGTAGTCAAAGATTACTATTGGCAGAGATTCAATAATATTCGTATCGAAGTGTCACTGACTTTATACTGGACACGAACCACAATACTAAATTTATCTAATCAGTTTTTAGTTTCAATAATGTTTTTTAAAACAAAACTAACGTTTAATATTATGTGGAAAACCTAGAGTGTTTTAACGTGAAATGTATTTTTTTCAATCACTTTTTTGAGTGGTACAAGTAATCTTAATTGAAAATTAAAGAAAACATTTTTAAAATCTAAATTTCGATGTCGAAGTAAATATATAAACGACAGGTTATACTTAATACAGATAATATAGCAAAATATCTCCTAACGGACACCTCCCAATAACGAACACCAATATTAATCTTAATAAGGATAATAACAAAAAGGTGGTAGTAAAAAACGCACGCACACTAGATAAAACAATAGATAATAAAATTATTGCTGATGCAGGACACTTGTGCAATAAAATACAAATGATAACATAACGATCATACGTTTTAACGAAATGTATTATGAATTTATTCATAATATTATGCAGAAACACCAAAATTGCAAACAGATCAAACTGAACGATTTTTTCTCATGAAATAAAATATTCAAATATACATCTAAATACCTTTATGTATCGTTCCAATAACGTAATTTTGATAATGTAATTCTTAAATCGTAAAAGATAAAAAGTAAATACAACAAAAAATGTATAGCAGTTTACACTCGTCGACTGGTAACAACGACGCGTGCAAAAACGTACCACAGGGTACAATAATTCGAATAAAATATTGAAAATCGATCTTGTACTACAGAAATAAATAATTAGAAATAAATTTTTAATATGTTGCACATTTCGTAAGAAATTATAAACAACCGACGCTCTGATTTACTAAATACATTTTAAAATATAAATTAAAATTACGAATTATTTACAAAAATACGTAAATCATATAAAATTTAGACGTGATTAATAGTAGAAGCGAAACAAGATACAACAATTAAAATTAATCTAATCGAAGATATATTTCGTACAATTGTGGCGAAAAGATCTTTGAGAACTGACATGATAATCGTCAATGTCGCTGTAATCAGTTTCATCGTAATATACGAGTAGTATTAGTCACTTGGTGTTCTAATCAAATGTTTACGTGTCGGAATATTATTTGGTTTTATTGCAGAATTTCTTCTTGGAAGTATTTATACATTTTCTCGAATCAGCCAACCAGACATGACTGTAATAAACAAGGTAATAAATAATTTACTACTAAAACATATGGGTAAAAAATTAATAATGAATCTTCCAGAAGTTAGTATTATTGAGGTTAAGAATTTATTTAGCGATACTTAGATCTTATTACAAAAGTGATCGATAATTTTCAGTGTTAAAAAAAAATTAAAAATTTAAAAGAAAAATTGTCGTATTTTGCACTAAAATCAATGTAAATTATTTTAAATATATTTTCATTTATAAATATTTATAGTTTAATAAAATTATAAGTTACGGAATGTATATATTATAATGGCTATACCATTGATCATATATACTTAATAAAATAATACTTATAATACACTCCTTAAAAGTTAAACTTCAAAAATAACCAAATATTGTTGAAACAGTCATTGCGTTGAAAAAATAAATTTAGGGTTGCATTTAATTTGTTTGTATAATATTGCATAGTATTTGCTAATAAAAAATAATCGGTATCGAATGGTATATATACATAGTTAAAATATAATATAATAACTTTGTATAATCATGAATTAAAATCAATCCTATCTGTATACATCGGTTATAAGAGCGGACTAAATTATTCATAACCTAACCACTGCTAATCACATTTTACGTTTATATATTAGTATGCAACCTCCAACAAAAAATATAAAAATTTTAGCTGATTTAATATTAAAAGTATATGGTCCCATGTGGTTCTATATAAAAATGTCTATATATTTGGATCGAAACACCTTTGAAAAATCATACAATTTTCACTATATTTATTTGATAATTTAAAACAAATTATTGACCCTATAATTAAATGCGTATTTTAGGTCGATCGAAAATATACTTATATGTATATTATTTGATGATCGCGAAGATATTAGAAAAATAGCTGTAACAAAAATTATAGAAGCGTGAAAAAATAATGAGGAAGGCACGATTCGTTGTTTTCAAATCCCGTTGTAATTCTTTTTTAATAATTTATAATAAGTAAGTCGCGGCACCTCTAAAATTGGTCGAATCATTTTCATTTTTTGTATACATTTATTTTGTTCATTCGAATTTGTAAATTTTTTTTTTTTTACATTAATTCGATCCACCCTAACCCGCATCCATTACCATTAGAATTTTACAGAGACAGATATACACACGAAAAATGTACACGCTAATGTATACGTTATCTGAAAGTAAAATCAGACTTTTTCGCAGCTAATACAGACATTTTTGTATAGGATATGTTTTCCGTAATCTAACAGAAAGATTTATAAATTAGACACCAACCTTATTATTATTGTTATGTATTTATCGGTACTGTTACGAGTTATTTTTTAATAATAATGCTAATAACAATAATATTTGTACTACAGCTGCAGATTTATCTAACCATGGTAGATTGTTAATAATTCATTACAATACAAAATAAACAGTATATATAAAACACCGACATAATTGTAACTTGATCAACGATTCGTGGTAATGTATTTATTAAAGATGACAAAGGAGTGGGAGAACATACTGGCACGACGACTGCAGTATTTAAACAATTAAACAATTTGCAACCCCAAAAAAATCGCGGTGTTGGTGAGTTACGGCCCGATTCCTAAATTAAGTACGCGTTGTGGCCCGTGTTTATAAAATAGACGTATGAGTTGCGGCTACATTTTAGTTATCACTTCATATCAGCCTATTGGCGTTACCCAGAAGATACCACAAGGAGGTTGGGTGAGTCGTCTACCAAAAATGTTTTTTTTTTATTTTTAATTATTATTTATGTAAAAATGGCAAAATTTATGGTAATTTATGATAAAATTAATTTTTTTAGATTATTGGTTGGGCTAAAACTTAAAACTTAATGATTTAATGAAATCAAACTGCTTTATTTATTTTTGTGCAAGCTCTGTCATCTGTTGTCTTATAAATGCTTTTTTTTCACATACTTTCTTCGTTTTTATTCCATTGCTTCTACATTTGATATACGTTTCTGATTGAATTTCTACTAACACATCAATACAATTATAGATGTTAGAATGAATAGAGTAGAACGATGAATTTAGATGTGAATGAAAACTTTCACAGCCGTTAGTAGTACGGTTACAGCTAGCATAAAACTGTGCTCAAATATTTGGGAGAAACATGGCGTCCGGGGATTTATAATTTTCGGTACATTTTACAACCCGATCATCTTAAGCGAACAGTATTGCTAAAAATTCATCCGTGAAACAATCAATGATGTTGTCAGAATCCAAAAATGGCAAACCAAAAAAAAAAAATTTGAAATAATGACTTTCATCTGTATTTGTGTTATACATTTTCGTGAGTCCTAAACTTTGAATTTTCCTCCACCAACTTTGCCCTAAGTAAAATCGACATCCTCTTATTTTTGCATTAAAGAAAACTTCTGCTACAGCACTATGTATAGCTTGTTCAAAATCTATAACAATTTCAGTAGGAGAGCACGTTAGACCAATGGACATGGAATGACGAATTAACCCCAGGCCACAATTAACTTAGTAATAAAATATGACCCGGTCGCAATTCACCAGCCTCCAATACGTTAATGACAAGTCGGGCCGCAATTCACCTATAGCCCAAAATCGAAGGTCTACCGAAATCCATGTTTACATCCTTTATGTTTTTCCATGTTTACATGGCTATTTAGTATATTATAGTAAATAAATGTGATTATTTCTCGCGGTACGCCGAGGAGCCGTACAAATAGATACATGATTTATCACCAACTAGTTAGGTCCTGTAACATTTGCATGTTCGTTTTACCCAACCATACGAATAGCAGAGTAAGAAATGAGTACCTTTTATACAGTGCTCGAATTGGGGGGAGGTGCAGGGGGACGGAGCTCCTTTATTCTTTTTTTTTTGCGTACCCCAACTATATTTTTTCATCGGAACGAGAAGACGCCACGTTCATCCTAATTGATGTCCAAAATAATTTTTATGTGAATTTCAATTTACGTCAATTTGTAAACGAATTTTACGATTTATAATATCAAATCTATTTTTATAATTAAAGATTATATGGGGCTTATGATAAGGGACAACGCCGTCATTTCTGGAAAAATATAAAATGTCTGTGAATTTGGTGTATTATACTTTATACATTGTACGGTTTGTTATTAATATTGGCGATCGACGATATCGTAATTTCGGAAAAAAAAATGCCCGCACCACGACTTTAGATTAATCTTCTAAAAGGCCGTGGCCCGCACTAAAGAGTAAAAATAGATAAAAACAAAAACCAAATATATGATTATATCATTCGATTCGTGAGACTGCCTGATCGCCTACAGTTATGTTAATTATTATTTTATTATTATTTTCTATTGTAACATGTAGGATGTCAGTATTGCTATCAAAATATATTATATTTGGAATTTAAATACTTGTTTAGCTGAAAAGTGGTATTCAAAATATATGTAAGGTTGGCGGAGGGGGGACGAAGCCCCCCACGGATATGTGTTAAATAATTGCGCACGTAGAACGCAGTTTTCAAATCGTTACACTGTGCTCCTCTACTTAATTTTTCCCAATTCAAGCACTGCTTTTGTATTAAAATAAAAGCCAAAACTAGTTTTGTTATTTTTTTTCTTTACATATTTATTTCGATATATATATATATGTATATTTATTGTTTTTTTTTTGCTTAAATTATATACTTCTATCTTTGTATACTGTTTGAAGCATACTTTATACGTATTAAAAAAAAAAAAAAATTATTTGCTAATTTTAAAAATGGTTTTATTTAATTTAATAATAAAATAACAATCTAAGATTCCATATTATTTTTATTACTTTTAAATAAATTTTAAAGTGTTAATACGAATAAAATTATAATAATTGACGATGTCATTGTTGTTTCCTTGAATGCGCTCGATGGTGGTCCATTACTATTATGGCGATTTATGAAAAATGCTGTTTAAAGACGTATTATGTAAAATGGCATGATTGTTTAAACTTAAAAATTAACTTTAAAGTGAATATAAATAATAATTTTCTAAAGGCTCGACTTATAACGACTCTCCTCTAATTATTAGTATTATTGGCTATGGCACGTCCATCGTCCCGAGATTCCGAAATAACACCTAATACTACGAGACGAAAATTCCTAATCGGCACATTTGTGGATTGCGCCAACTATTAACATTATTCGTATTTTCACGTTATTCAAATAGATAAACAAGATTGATAGTTTTTATAAAAATGGCTATAACATCATAATTCGTAGGAATGGGAACAGTTCGAGGAATAGTGATTCGTAAAGATAGAAGCCGAATGGGATCGTACCGTATTATTATGATTTATATATAGTCGCGTCGTCATCAGTTTTAGGTCACTTTGTACCGTCTGTAGTGGAAATCCGCCTCGAGCGGTTACTTTTTTCAAAAGCAAGTAGTTGTAATATCTTTTTTTTTTTTTGGTCGGTCAGTTTATACAATGACAATCGAAAGTGGGTTGAGGATTTTTTTCCCATTGCAAGAAAGGTATTCATATGGATTATTTCTAATAACTAGAGCTGTAAAATCAAGCAACTACATAAATCCATGCCGACCTATGTTGCTCATGAATGTTTTAATATTTCACATTTTCCTTATCGTCAGTCGATTCAATAAGTTCTTTGCAACAATATTACACCGAAATCGTTAAAAATGTTCAGCGCCATATTATCATAACCGCACGAGCCGACCGAGCCGGAGATGTTTTTCATTTTTTTTCACCCACCGACCGTACAAGGTTCAACGGAGAAGTACCGTTCATGAACGGTGCAGCTCAACCGGTTCGCCAAAGACTCGAACCGATCGAGCCGTCCACCGTGATAGTCGACAACGGTTCACGTTTCTGTAGTACGTACCTGCGTATTTGTGCGTTATCAGTCGATTTGCCGGCGGTTATACGATAACAGCGGCGGCGGCGGCCGTACGTCAATCCGAGTGGGCCGCGTGCGCGTGATAAGCGTGGCGGCGATGGTTTTGCTTTTGGGCAGAGAGCGCACGAGAGTTCCACGGTTTATCGATCGGTCACTCGCGCACGCAAAACACGCACACACGCACTCACACGTACGAACGACGGGACGAACGCGGGCACAATGCGACCGGCTGTGGCGTCCGGTGCGGTGTCGTCGTGTGTTCGGTGCGCGGCGAGCGACCGATGGCGGCGGCGTACGACCGGCTGACGTGGCCGACCGGCTTCGCGCGGGCGCCCCGTTGCCCAGGATACGCGCGGTCGCGACGTCGGTGGTGGGGCGGCGGCTGCGCCGGGCGTTGACGCGCGCGTGTGCTCGACGACGTGTGCGGCATCCGTACGCGCGACGTCGTCGTTCGTCCTCTGTTTCGCGCGAACGCTCGCATTGTTTCACGCGCGTTCTTTCTTGCTCGACCGCAGTGCTCTCGTCGCGTTTCGATAATCGCGAATTCACCTCCCATTCGTCCCCCCTCCCCGGTACTTTTTTCCCTCGCACTTTTACACGTATTATTCTACGTTTATTATTATTTTAACACGGTTTAAAAGCATATCGCGCATTGTTTGTACATTACCTGTAACCTGTGCGTTTGTCTTCGTTGTAACTACCAATTATTGTGATTGTTATAATCTATCCTAGTGCGTGTTGTGAAATTATTACACGTCTCGGCTTGGTTATTTATCGGGTCTTAGAACAGTGATTCTGAACCTGGGGAGAACGCTCCTCACAGGGAAGCGTGAACATTTTTTAAAAGCGACGAAACGTGAAAACGTTATTTTTGTTCATTTCGATATTCAATCCAGACATTATTTTTGTCACAAATGATTGAAACTAAGCAGTGCCAACCCATCCAATAATTTGTGTAGACGATTTTAAATTATAATAATATTTTTTCCTTACAGATAAATTCATTAAATATTTTAAAATCTTCAATGATTTTCAAATTATCATATTAGTCAAATAACCAATATTATTATATATATTAAAAGTGAATTCAATATTATTATGGTGAGGGAGGCATAACATCATAAAATAGTATGAAGGGGGCATATACCTCAAAAGTTTGAGAACCCTCGTCTTAAAATATGTAATATTTATTGAATTTTTTTAGTCCGTGTATTTTACACATCAAACACTGTTATAATAATAATAATGCAAAGAGTAAATTCAGATATTTCTATAATCATAAGTGCATTTTTTTATTTCAAATCAATATGCATATACAAATTGTATAATACAATACAGTTGAAGTTTTCAGCGATCGAGACATGTGCACTTAGCCGATATCAGATCGGATTAACTCGGCAGAAAAGAGTATTATATTATTAATATACCCACGGCAGTTTTGTTTTTTTATTCTTGTTAGTATAGCCAGACTCCGTGCTCATGGTATGCAAGAAAGATATAAAAAAAGTGAACTTATAAAGAAAAAAAAGTAGAGTATAAATTGTTATTTACGTAGGTGTTCAGCGTATGTGAGGTTGCATATCCTGCTGCCCCCCTGGTTACGCCTATGAGTCTAAAGATAGTTCTTTATCTTTTAATTACGAATTCCGACAGTAAAGAGGACAACTAATACATTTCAACCCAGTGTATAATAATTATTATTATTTATTTATTTATTTTTTTTTTTGTAAAATATTTACCAATCATTAATAATTTAAAAATAAAGCCCATGATTCGAAAATTAAATATAAAAATGGAAATTACTTTCTTATAACTGGAATTAGTTGTGGTCAAACGGGAATGATAAGGGGGATATATTCCCCCCCATAATATTTTTATTATTTTGGATTATTTTTAATAATATACTATATATAGATAATTTTTATTTTCAACAATCTGATAAAGCTATTAACAAATTTTGATATGAATTTTATTGTGATAATAAAAACAATATTAAAACATATTACATAAATCATATCACTGTAATTACTCTATGTTGTCATCTTACAATTATAACAGTTTCACAATCGCGTTTTAACTTGGAAAATACTTTTCTATTTCTTTTATAATATCTTCTATTATTGAAGTTACAAGTTCTTACATTTCATTGCCAAAATCGGATTATTCTCGTTTTTTTTCACTCGATAACACTTATTTAATAGGTATTTGTGTATTTTTCAGTACAAAAATCTCGTCTTTGACTCGGTATATTATAATGTAATATTAGGTTTCTATTCGTTTTGTATACGCCTTCACTTCCGTCGTCAAATTAATCACATATTAAATATATCGATAACTCAAGCCATGGAAACACCTCAAACGAGTAATTCCTTACCTTAATATAAAGCATTTACTGCGTTGAGTGGTGACGTTTACTTGGCTTTATATTTTAAAGTTTCCTCCTAGATAGAAAACCTATGTAAACAATGTCACCAGTGCCGGTCTAGCCCACCTAAATATCCGACAATCACCGGGAGCCCTGAAATGTATTCTTAAAATAGGGGCCCAACCAGGGTCGGATTCTTAGTAAGAGAATTATTTCAAATGGCCACTTATTAGATCTAAAAGTGGATTATAAATGTATTCCTAGTAACAAAAAAACAATATGATCACATAATATTGGTTTTTTAAGTTTATTCATAATTATTATTATAAACATTTATCTTATTTTATGGAATCTTACATGAGGTCTGCCATAGGTATGTTTTATTTTACTATACAATTAAAATATTAGTGTCAAAAAGTATAAGAAGTCTTCAAGAGACCAATTTTCTTAACAAATATTAATTGTGGGTCACCTGACCTCCTGAATTTCTCTTAAATCCATTTTTTTGGCTCAAAGTAATCATGTTTACATGAAAAATCATGTTAATTATTTTGCTAAATTAAATTAAAAATATATTATTATTATTATCTTAATCTTGAAATATTGTTGATGTAATATTAACAGAACTAGGTTATAACCGCTATAATTTATTTATTTTTGTTCTCTTGATCAAAATCGAACAAATATAAAGACTGAAAAATTAAGATAAGTGTTGTTACTGGTCACATACACGAACACAATGATAATTCAAGAATATTGGCTTTAGAAAAATATAAAAACAAAAATAAATTAAAATTTGTAGTAGAGTTCGAGCTTATCGATAAAAACATTTTTAATAAGTTCTTATTGAATCTCACTCCAATATTATATTTTTTAAGGGCCCGTTGAAAATTTTTTACCGGAGGCCTAATAATGAGCCAGACCGACACTGAATGTCACCTTTATTTCAGTTATCTCAATTATTAAATACTATAGTTTTTTTTTTTTTTTTTGTTATCTCTCACAAGTATAAAAATATTTACGTTAGAGTAAAATCTTTTGAATTTTTATTTTTTAAATTGTACATGATTTCGGAAAACATAAATATGTTCTCGTGGATAAAATTATCAAGAAATATCATCTCACCCGACCTAAGAGTTTCGGCTATTTTTAAAATTATTTCAAAGTTTAAACTTTAATTACCTAATTATATTATATTATTTTCCAGATTATTATGTATAGTTATTATGGATAGTTCTTATTTACTGGCGAAGGAGCATACAAAGTCATACAACAGTATACCATAGTGTTCGTTAAATAAATGCTAAAAAATTAGTCAAGGTTGTTTGACTATGATAGAGGACTGAAGATATTTGTATTCAAACCTCCTCCTCCTCACTGTATTTTTGTTTTTACATGAATAATAATTTTGTTCAAATATTGAAATCTGTCTAAAAAATTAATTGAAATTACGTGATAAATATTTTAAGAAAAAAATTCTTTAACATTTCAAGATTAAATTAAGACCCATGACCATTCGTATAAAATTTGAATCATGTTAAGTTAAGTCATGAGATTATATTATTTTTCATAATTAAAATAGCATCACAACGTTTTGAGATAGAAGAATATTTTCCAGCCCTGTCCTTCACTTCCTTTCTCATGAACGATTTTGCATACGTGTATGATTTGACTGATATCTGCTACCGTACCATAATTGATAAACACGTACTACGCTGAGACGTGGAATAGTATCGTATTCTTGCACAAGAGAAAAAAAGAGAGTGAGAGAAAGAGAGAGAAACTGAGAGCACGCATGTGTATGTATGTGTTAAACGTACGTCGTTGCACACGCATTATTATAACCACTGAAATCACGATTATAGTACAAGTAGGTATGACGAAAGAACCGGACAGTCACCGCTATTAACGTAAGTGTAAATCAATAGTTCCCAAGACCCGACGGCAACGTCCTTACGAGCTTCTAACCGCGAACGATGTAAATACATCGCATACATGGTCCAATAATTGATTCTACATCGAATCGATCGAATCGATGTCGAGTTTAAATTCACGTTGGTTGACTCGAGTTTTACAACTATTGCGCAGGCACGTCTGTCATTATGTGTAACTGCAGTCCGTTACAAATATTTAGACTTTTATTTATAATCGTCCGTTCCACAAGACCTTGAACGCAGATACTTACATTATTCTCATTTCCACGTGCATACTGTAGAACAGGGGTGGCCAACCGGTGAATCGCGATTGCCTTTAATTTTTTTTTAATTTTTTTTCATACAATAATTATAATATTTATTTATTTATTTATTTATTAATTTTTATATCTTTGGTTAACCCATTAGTATATAAATTAGATTAATTAACAAAGGCAATTTGCTTTTATTTATTACTATATATTAATATATATATATATATATATATTAACAAATAATTATAAAAATTGAAATCATACACTGAGATCGACTAGCTATGTAGTAGTTATATTGTACGTAATTAATAGATATTTCTTGTTAAATAATAGTATTTATCGCATTCGTATAAATTGATAAAAAATTATATTAAAATACGTGTTATGTAAAATTATAAAATTAAAGTTATTATTACTTATTAATATGTTAAATAGAAGAAATATAGGTGTAATATGCATTTATATAAAATATAGTTTTGCTCAGTGACCATCTTTTTTTATTTTTTGGTCGATCGTGACAACCTAGAAAAACTCACAATTCTATAAAAGTTAGCTACCCCTGTTATACACGCACTATGCACCAAGTGTATACCATAATCCTTTTGTTATTCAAACTTCCATTGTTTGATCCCTCATGGGATCTCCGTCGGAAATATATTGCACACGTCACATTATACATTATAAATTATATGTACTGTACGGTCAAATAATATTGTACGTTCGAAATATAATGCTATAATGTGCATGAAACTTATTGTTAGCGTTTATATTATCAAATATTCTTATCTAAGTGTTTATTCGCAATATTTTTCATTATATGTTATATTATTTAAAGCACATCACGTAGGTGTAGTGTATTATAAAATTGGTGAA